GCCCAGTCAATATGACTGGTTTTAGATGGCCCATCATGGCTAAAAAAAAATCCCCCGATAGCTCTAGTGTTAAGGTGTTATGAAATAGTCATTCTATATATATATATATGAAAATGTCAAATTTTGTATATAATTTTTCTACAAACTGGGTACACCGAATAATTTGGGACTAAATTTCGAGAGTTTCAAGATATCTTCATTAGAACTTCCGTGATCACGCGTTGAAGTTTCATATTATTTTCGGTGCACCCAATTTGGCGAATAGTTTTATGAATATTTTTACTTTATGTTTTGTATGACACTTTCGTGGTATTTTAACGCCGCGCGTCACTTCGGCTACAATTCTTCGGTTTTTTCTTATCCGCGACGCATTGTGCTCAGTGGGACGGCTCTTTATGTCGTGACTCGATCACGGTCGAACCTAACCTCCCAGTCGGCCGTCAGCTGACGCCGAATAAGGGAAAATGGCGCGAGAGGACTCCATTTGAGGAAAATCACGGACTGTGGAAAATGCACGAAACTAGGCAAAGCCCGTGGTCGAATGAAGTCGATGTCTCCTTTTTTTCTCTCTCCCTACTTTATATTTTTCTTTCGTAAGATTTGCATTTAAACACACACGGTGTGTGGTGGATTGCGTAAACATTGTACATGCTTTGCCCGTATGTAGCCGTACTCTTGGGATAAATAAAAATTCCTCCTTTTCTCGCTCTCGTTTTCTCGATTGCCCAAATTGGTTTGCCCGTATAAAAAAAAAAAAAAGAAAACGTTTGAAATCAAGTGCCGTTAAACACAAATTTATAACGCATGTTATACATTTATTACACATATGTACTATAATTATAACATGTGCTCTTAAATTGTATTTGGGAAATGTGTTATAAAATCAGTACACCATGTCTGAATAAAATTTCCAATGAAAATGACATAAAATTATAATATTTTTCATTAACAGGGTAAATACGAACGTCGTTAACGTAGGTATTTATAATCTTTTTTTTTTTTCACGTCGATGAAATTTCTCGACGTGTTTTACTTCACCTGAAATTCTCGCGAATTTAAAAACGCACTACCCACGTGTCACGGCTCGCGTAGGCGCGTTACGGCCCCACTCGGGGCTCGAGGGGTGCACCCGAGTCCGGGTGAGATCGAAGATGCGCGAGCCGGCTCCTGGGCCTCGTCCGGGCGTGCTGGTTGCCGGGTACGCCGGTCGTGCCTCGGATTTGCCGCAGTCGCTCTCGAGCCCGCGACCGAGGCGGGGAGCGGGAGCCAGAGAGAGAGGGCGGCGGACAAAGCGCGAAAGGAGGAGGGAGAGGCACGCACACGAGCTCGCGGGAAAGGGCTTTAAAGAGCGAAAGAGAGGGGAGAGAAGGAGAGAAAGAGCCGTGGACCGGGAGAGAGAGAGAGAGAGAGGGGACATGCGAAAAGGACTGGGCGGACGGGATATCGGCGCGTTACGTGCCTCGCGACGGGGGAAGAGCGCTCTCGCCTCAAAAGGGCCGCTTATTTACGAGCGGCTTTTCACCAGACTGGGCCTCTTCTCGTGAGCGCGCGCGCATGCACAGGTATAAACTGGGATGCGGATGTACCGAAGGTGCGCGAAGCCCGGCGCGCCCGTAACGGACCTCGCACACGCACACGCCGTGCGCGGCGAGCGACTGAGACGCCAAGCGCGCGGGAGGTCGGGAGGGAGCGAGACCGCCATACACCGGGAAGGTCAATGCGTCGCCGCCGCCGCCGCCGCCGCCGCCGACGCCGCGTGTGTCCTTGGGGCCGCGAGATTCGTCGGATGCGCCCGAACGGACCCGAGTCCGCCCGAGTGCACTCGAAGACGCCTCTGGGTTAGCGGACGGGACCCTCCGCCCTCGCGGGTGGGAGGACCCTGCACCTCTGGGTTAACCTCCGAAACCGTGACTTCGCACCACCTGACTCCCCTCCGCAAACCTTGCTGGACGATACCTACGGTGTATATATATGTATTTTCAAGTGCACGGAACGTCTCGACTCGATCTCGACTAGTCGAATAAATCGGTATAGCGGCGTCTCGAACGCTGAGAAGAATAACTTCATCGAACCTAAGACATATATATCTCTTTGATTGGTGCCAATGGAATACCTTAATTCAAGGAATAATCATTCGACTCGTATATACTCGTATATAAATTGGATGCAACGGCTTCCTCAGAATTGTGACAATTTGAGTTAATTATAGCCAAATAATTATTCTTTAAATTAACAATGTGCTTCTTTTGTACTATTCGAAGGAGTATTTTTGTTGGTCCAATGAATGTTTTTTTTTTTGTTTCTCAGTGTACATACATATTTTTACCTGGAAGCAAATGAAACTCCATGATTAATCTTTTGGAATAATATTTAAAACTAGAAAAAAAGAAAAATGACATGTAAAAATGTATGTAAATTTCTATGGATTTTTATCAGGGTAGAAACGGCACCCTTCGAGCCCCTCTCCCTAGCCTCGATCAATCTAACTCTCGCGTACTTTCGGAGCCCTTTCCCCGGGGAGTATCGGTGTATATAGATAGGCCCTCGCGGGTCGCCTTCCCGGCGACGAGGGAGTCCCTCGTCGCGCGGGGGGGCCGCGGCCCGAGGAGGGGGGCGCTCGATACCGCGACGCCGCGCTGTTTCGAACGGATATATACCCCGGCAGGTTCCGGGCTCACGGTTACGTTACCGTTACCGACTGAGAGAAGAACCGCCGCGTACGCGGTCACCCGAGGTGCGGGCCGGACGCCTCCTTCGAAAAACCGGCCGCCATCTTGATGCTTTCAAAAGGTGCGGACCGGACGCCTAGAAAAACCGACCGCCATCTTGCCGCTTTCAAATATCGAATATGAATACCAATAGATACGTCAGGGTTAGTAAGGACTGGGTCGTTCCATAAGCACACCGGTAAATTTCTATCGATTCAAATTTGTATCTAGTTCTGTAACGAAACGACCTACGTATTGATTAATAATGACAATAATAACAATGATGAGGATATTAATAATTTATTGATATCATTGTCGGTAACCTGGCAGTAATTATATTCTAATGAAACAAGCTAGGTCCACCCAATCATTTGAAATTTAAGCACGTGATCGTGGAGGTCCTTCGAAAGACGCGATGCTCATGAAATTTCAGTTTTCAAAAAAAAAAAAGTAAAAGGAAAATTGCTTCAGTTATCCCAGACGAGAACCAGACACATATTTCGTCTTTAAAAGTGAAATTTCATGTTCTTCCTTAGTCTCCATAATCACGTGCCGAAGTTTCAAATGATACCATGCACTCGGATTAGAGAAAAATTATTATAAATATTTCGATGTTTTATATGTTTAGAATTATCCTTTCGTAACGCCTTAACTCCTTGCGTTACAATGACGAGCTAGACTCATTCAGCTGGAATGGTTCATAGTTAAATCTAAGCGCAAGGGGTTAAGAGCAATTCCAATTGGTTATTCGTCCTCGACGCGCCGACGCGCCGCGCGCTTCGGTCCGACACCTGACGCGCTTGGCGAGACTCGTGGTCGGCAGGTCACGTGGTCGGAAGCAGCCCACCGCGGGCGCCATCTTGGTTCGCCCCCGAGCTGCGGAGACTGGCCGATGGACTCCTTCCTCTCGCGTCCTTTATTCCAGCGTTCGTGAACCCGCAGGTGCGTGCCGTGCGTGCCCGCGCGGCGAGAGACCCGGTCTCTCGACCAGCGGTCCGCACGGAGCGAAGGGTCCGTTTCTCCTATTCAGCGCGCCACTCAAAGGAACGGGGGAGCGAGAGGGACGCGTCTATGCGGGGAGAGGGGGAGGGAGAGAGAGGCACTCGCGCGACAAAGGACCGGAGGAGGACCCGTGAACCTGGTCAGGAGGGGCTCGTAAAATCGTTAGAATAACGAAACCGGAGTCGGGCGTTTTCCTTTTTTCGATCCTTTCCTCCTTTTCGTCTTTTTTTCCTTCTTTGCTCCCTCTTTCGGGGCTCTACCGCGGTCCGCTCGTATCGACGCATCGATCGCGTCGACTGTCGATTCTCGAGACCGATCGCGGGCCGAGCGTGTCGTGGCTTCGAAAACAATTATTATCTCCCCCCGATGAGTCATCTCGAAGCATCTCCAGCGGTCCAGCGCATGCATTTCGGCCGTTTTAAGGGGTTACGAAAGTTAAGCTGATGGAAGAGTAAAAATATTTATACAACTTTTCTCGAAACTGGGTGCACAGAATAACGTGAAACTTTAACACGTGATTGTGGAGGTCCTAATGGAGGTCTTGAAACTCGCGAAATTTCGATTTTCGAAAAAAAAGAAAAAACTAAAAATGTTTTCATCCCGGACAAGAACCGAAAAAAGAGAAAACATTTTTTTTCTTCAGTTTAATTTCATGAGCATCGCGTTTCTCCTTGGAGCCTTTGTAATCACGTGCTGTTTCGAATGTTTCATTTTGGAGAGGGATTTTGTCTATATTTTCTCGTTTTGAGATTTATATATATAGAATATGACCCTTTCATATCGCCTTAAATTCGCGATCCTTTCGGCGCGACGTAACCTGCGCAGGAAAAACGAAAACATGGCGGCCTTGCGAAATCCGCTTCCTCCTCCGGGAGCGTTCTCTTCCGTTGTGTCCTCGAGCTTTCCGCTTTTTACGCGCTCGGTGGCCGGTCACGAAGTAGACGATAAACAAGCGATATCGACGAGCCTGACGTAAAATCGTCCAACGCCGAAGCGTAAATCAATCCAAATCAGTCCGTGCTGTTCCCCGAGAGCGATCCTTTTGCTACGGTTCTTTTCTCCAGTAGAAAGCTCCGGAGGATTCCTTCCCGAACAAAACCTCTCTCGCGTTGGAATGATCGGAATATTCGGAAAATTGGCGGAGGAATTGAAAGAAACCTCGAGCCGGAATACGAGTCGAGTAGAGCTGGACCAGCCGACGTAACTTATCGTTCGATGCAACGAATGCATTATAGTATCGAGTTGCAATAATTTGTATTGGTTATTAACGATGCTTTCATCTATTTGCAGGCAGCTACGCGATGGAACCCTAGAGGAGAACCACCTCCAGGACGGAAGTCGACTCACTCTCTTGCCTAGCGTGGAAACGGGGCTGCTGGTGAGTTTAAATCACGTTAGGTGTTACGAAAGTGTCTTGTATGTATTCAGAAAAAAAAAAAAAAAGAGAGATGTGAACGCTTATACAAATTTTCTTCAAACTGGGCGCACCGAATAATTCGAAACTTCAACGCGCGATAATGAAGATATCACAACGGAGGTCTTGAAACTCCAGAAATTTCATTCTTCGGAACAAACATTGTATAGTTATCCTGGACAAGAACCGGGAAGAAAAGGATTTCTATCGGAGAATGAAATTCCGTGAGTTTCGAGATCTTCGTTGGGGCCTCCATAATCACGTGTTAAAGTTTCAGATTATTCGGTGCATCCAGTTTGGAGAAAAGTTGTATTAGTATTCTGACGTTTTGATATATGTGTATGTATGTGTGTGTGTGTATAGAGTGACCCTTTCGTGTTACTTTAATTACGGTATTTTTATATTCTTACTAGGCAAGATGGCGGGGATACGCTTTTCAATTAGCCGAGAGAATAAGAAAAGAGAGACCGCGACTCGTCGCGTGGAAAACACGAAAATTCGTCATCGAGTGGGAAACGAGGGCGTGTAGCGGGCAACCGGCGATTGTCGGGTATATCACAAGTCGCGGACTCTCTTGTCTCGTTTTATTCCTACGCGTGAGATAAGGACACGTGGCCGTATTTTGCGGTTCGTCTCTCGCGCGAGGTTACGACCGGGGAGGGACTTTACGGCCGGTTTCGCCTCGCCTTGCTGGAGAGATAAAGGTTACCGCGATTTTGAAGGGATTTCGATTTACAACGGCGCGTACCTAGCAACAAATTGCGAGAGAATTGAGAAGCCTCCCTACCAGCTCGTCAATATTACCGATTAATCGCCAACGGTGGTTATTAATCAATTTCGGGTGAAATAAAGCGTGAAGTTTGAGCTATGATCGGTTAATCTCGGATTAGTGAAATCCGTGTTTCCACTGAGTGTTAGAGTAACCGAAGATTAAAGTACTAGGAGTAAATTTACAGTACCCGAAATCGAGGGGTTAACTCTGATCGCGGTTTAACTAATCCTCCGTTATGGATTTTAAATCGAATGTAGGCACAACCAGTCCTTAAGGTGATATGAAAGGGACGTTCTATATACATTAAAATGTGAAGTTATTCAATGAAATGTCGGGAGTTTCAAGACCTTCATTGGGAGCTCCGTAATCACGGGTTAAAGCTTCAAATTATTCGGTACACCCAGTTTAGGAAAAAGTTTTATAAATATTTTGATATTTTTATATATTTGTATATATACAAAATGACCCTTTCGTAACACCTTAATGACGAGTAATTAATTAACGTTAGACGAGGCTGCAAGGAATTAACGGCGACCGTGGGCGAGGACTCTCCCGTTTGTTTAGCGTTCCCTCGGGCCGATTGCGATTAGCGGATCGCTTACGGTTATGCTTATAGAAATACATCCTGGTGTTGCCAGGAGCGCTCGCCACGGAATACCCGATGAGGTAGACGGCGCGCTCCCGATAAACCCCGTTAACTCCGGTGCACGAATATCGCCGGGTCACTTGGTTTCTCGGTCAGCACGCTCGTCCTGTCCCTTTGCACCGTGACTTCTGCGATCGCTGCGTTTCCTTCATTCCTTCGGGACTTCCTAAGGATATGACTCGGTCGATTTGCGTACCCTTTGTAGGTAGATCTCGTGTAACGTTCGTGAATCTCGTGCAACGTCCGTGGATCTCGTGCAACGTCCGTTTTCTCTCTCCTTTCGATAAACAAGGCCCCAAGTTTTCTCAGTGCTTCCGCTATCCGTCCGCATCTTCTCCAGTTACCCTGGAAGAGATATTCGGGATTACCGCCGGTTTTGTCCAACCGCTTATCACGAACCGTGCGCGGAGGTAGACGGCGCGCTCCCGATAAACCCCGTTAACTCCGTTGCAGTAGCATCGCCGGGTCACTTGGTTTCTCGGCCAACATTGCGGACCTTATCCTTCCCTCACCAGTAGCGTGCCTACCCATGACGCACTCTTGCTACTTTTCAAATAAATTCCCCCGGATCTAAAGAGATGAAAAAAGAAAAAGGAGCCTATTAACATCGATTAAACTGGAAGCACGAAGTCTACGAGACAACCATCCCTTGAATTGGGTAGACAGAAAAAAAAAGAAAGAAAACCGACGCGCGAAGTCCGGGAACGTTTACCCTTGCATATCCAAAGCCATTCGTAACGTCGCTATGAGATTTTTCTCATTCCTCGCTTTTACGTTACGGTCAGTCGTCTAGGGTTAATCCCTGGTTCCTCCGTTACCCGCAACTCCACGCCCGAATTCCCGGGCGGCGTCGACCTAACCTCTCCTCGGAGGGTTACCTAACCTCCCGGCGCGCGTACCCTTTCACCGTTCCGGCGGACCGACTCGCCGACCGGGCGGCCATGTTGCCTGTAACCACGCCGCCTGCATATTCACGAAACGCCGTTGTCCCCGACCTTGCCGGGGAGCGGAGGTGGCGAGACCCGAGGAGGGAGAGAAATCCGGCGTTCGCATCGATAATCGCGTTTCCTCGGGTCCGCCGGAGGGGGACCTCTCTCTCTCCCTCTTTCTCATTTTCTCTCTCGTCTCTCTCGCCTCTCGCGGAGGCGCGCACAAAGGGCGTGTACCCGCGCGCGTTCCGAAATTGACCGTAGCGGCCGCACCGGCAACGCGCGCGCGGCAACAGCGCACGGTCCTCTTATCGCTCCGAGTTCCGAGTCGTTCCTTTTACTCCGACTCGCCGCGAGAGGGAACTCTTACGAGACCCCTCGTCTCTCCCCTCGCGTTCCCTCCTTCTCTCTCGGTCCCGGTCGGTTTCGAAGGGTCTTTAGAAGACCCATCGGCCGAGCCCGCGGCAGGTTACCATGCGCAAGTCCAAGGGGTTCTCATTCGCCCTTTCCCGGTGGCTCTGACTCACTTTCTGGCCTCCTCCTTTCCCTATCTAAGGATTTCCTTTCGACTTCGACGCGCGTTTTCTACTTCCGTTTTGGACGATTCTTCATTCGCTCCTTGCCACGCCGGACTTTTCGTTTCCGCGGACCATTTCACTCCGGAAGTCGTGCATCTTAATGCTCGAATTTACGGGGAAGTCAGCTGGGAATTAGGGGAAATCACCGAAACGTTTTCACGATTTTACGGCAGAACGTCACTTGTTACTGAATCGATCATTTGATATTTTTGATAATTAGAAAGGGGCTATCGTGAAAGGATTCGGAATATTTTATTATCGAAGGAGAAATATCGTGTACAGCGCAATTTAAGTAATCTGACATTTTTGCTATTAAGTACAAGTTCGCAAAATTATTTCTAAAATGTATGCCTAAGTATGGACAGCGTTGCTGCCACGTGGCGCTGATACGACCCCTGCCAGCGCGAAGGTCACCGAAATCCGATCAGATAGGGAACGCGAGTTAACGGGGGAATCAGTTTTTAATAATATCTCGTAATATCCATTACGGGCTTGAATTATCACGAGATTAATGGCGGAACTAGACGTGCCGTCCCTCGTGTACCTTTAATCGTTCCTCGTTGACCTTAATGCCGGTAAGAGAGGCGGCTTGGTGGCCGCGGGGGTAACGCATTTCGAGTCGGCCGGCGTGTAATGAGCAAATGTGCGCGCGCAACTTATTGTCCATAATTCGCCTTGGGTAGTGTCGCGCGCATGCGCGCGCGCAAGAGACCGCCGAGTGGAAAGCCCGCACTCGCGCAATGGCGACGACGTGTTGCCGCAAGAGCGGAGGAATTCTCACGGCGAGCGTACGCTGCTCGATAAATCACTCGGTATCTCTCTCTAGGCGAGAGCGTCACCGTGTCGATACGGAGAGAGAAACAAAAGGGACGGCTCGCGAGAGGCGTGCTCTCGCGCGCGTAATGTGCGCTCGCATCCGCAGATAACGCGCGAGATGGCGAGCGTAGCGGCGCCGAAACGTGTCCTCGCTCTTACAAAGGCGACGGCGTTCACAGTTTCTAACCACTCTCGAGTATCCGCGAATTGGTAACCCCTGGGTGTCCCAGACCTTTTCCGAAAGATCGTCCTCTGTTGCGAACACCATACTCCTGGGATGCTGGTCCTCGCACACCGATCTAACGATTCTGACCCTGAAGGTAGCAGAATCGAAAGTTAGAGAAAACGTAAGGGCTGTTTCCTCGGTCTTTTTCCTGTTTTTCAAATTGTTCCACGGTTCAACATGGCAACGGCTTATCTATCGGCAGGAATGAAAGGAATATAATACCTCTATATTCACTCTGCTTTTCCCTGCTTTCGTCGTACATCAAGTGCTACTTATCTACGGGCACCTTAAATGTCGGATTTATATCGATAAGTATTGAATTAATAAGTTTGATGTCTAGTACCCAGTTGCCACCACCCTTGTACTGGTATTTATTGATCTTATAATCGTTTTCGCCGTTGAATTGCGGCATTAAGAAGTCCTTCGTATTTGTAAGTCCGGAATTTAGGTGTCGGTGGAAATGTATAGGTGGCTGCGGGTTTCGCCCATCCAAGGTCCATGGAGAATGACATCCCCTGGCAGGTCGGCGTGTCCGCGAGCGCGCCACGCCATTGGCTGGGACTGCGGTCACGGGCGACCGTGATTGGCGCATTCCGCCGGCGGGTCCGGCCAATGGCAGTCACCGATTCCAGCCGGGCCGTCCGCGGAAGGACGCCCTTGGTGTGAGGTTCCACGGAACCTGTAGACGCGGCCGGAATCGGTCGGTCGGTATTTCCGGCGCATTTTCCTCATCCCCTGCGAGCACGGGAGGATTATCCGGCTATCTTCGGCAATTACCGCACTCGATAAGCGTGGGAAGGACTTCCCGATATCCGATGATTGACTCGACCTTGGGCGAGTCGCTGCTTCGGGGCCGGACTCTCGGGAATCGTAGGTGGAGCCGAAAGTGGAACTCGGGCGTCTCGCGGGCCGGACGGAGAAGCAGCCGGGCTGGCCGGCCGGCCTCGGCTCGCGCGGCACGTGGGCTGGGTCGGGCCGTGACGTCACGCGACGTGGGATAGCAGGTTGGGTGTTTCGTCGATGGGCTCCGTTTAAATCTCGGCCGGGCGGCGCGCGGAGCCCCTCGGCCTAGGCGCCGCCAGATATCCTTCGCCATTTTCCTTTTTCCCCCTTGCTCCGAGGCGACGCGACGCGACTCCGGCCCTCTCCCGTTTTCCTTCCCGGAGACCACCCGTCGCAAAGACTTTTAAATCGACGTTGACGAGTGGAACGTCCGCAGGGGTGCTCAATTGACGAATCATTAAGACTCTCCTTCTCCCTGCTGAAATTTCCCGTCGTATTTTCTCGTTGGCTCGTCGCCATTTTCCCTCTCACTTCGTTACGTCCTAACTTCACTCTCTCCCATCGAGCCGAATCCTCCCAGACTCAGGATTGACGAGAAAAATGCGAATCTCTCGGACAGTGGATAAACAATTCTACCACTCTTTCTACGCGGATATAACCTCTACGGAATTTCATCCTAGGTTCTATTTAACTTATTTTAGTATGAAACTCCGCGAGGGGCGGATCCCTGGCCGAAATTCGATCGGCTAATCGAGAAGCGGTCTCGAACGTGACTCGATGACGCCTCTCTCGAGGGGCGAGTGAGAGGATCGCAGAGAGAGAGAGGGAGACGCCGGCGCTCGATGGCGCGCTGGTTCGGCTCGCTTCCGCTCCGCTTCCGTGGCGCTCGGAGCGGCGGCCTCTTTCGACGCGGCGAATATAAAGCCCGGGCAAATCGAATTACCGAATCCGCGGGACCTTCGGCGCGAGGAAGTCCATTAGGTGTTTCAAACCGAGGCGGAGATGCCCCCGGCCCCGAGGCCCGAGCGTGTTTCGCGAGGTTTCCTCTTCTGCGGGTCTTCTCGGGTTTCGCGCGATCTCCTCGCGGCGCTCCATCGATTCTCGATCATCACGCGCGCTCTCACCCGGTGCGCGCCATGGACGTAAGAATACACGAACGCCGAGCCCAAGCTAGAGGGGGCGAGTGTTCGAGTAAGTAAGGACGGAACACATGGGAACAATAGGAAGGTAGACATATTGGTCAGCCAATATCTTGATTGAGATTTAATTGTCTATCTATTTAATATCTGCGGTTAAACGAGTTATGAATTATTTTAAATCATTTGAAGATCTAATTGATTGTTTTTCAACGACTTCTGAATTACGTTGTATTTAATCGTAGGAAATGATTTTAAAAAATCGCAGTCTTGCCGTAATTAATTGTGCCGTCTTTTTCAGGCCCAGCGACCTGAGCAGAGCGTGATGCAGGCCCTGGAGAGCCTGAACGACTCGCAAGTGAACGACTTCCTCTCCGGGAAGGCTCCCTTGAACCTGACGATGAGACTAGGGGACCACATGATGCTCATCCAGCTGCAGCTCTCAACAGTCACGCCGGCCACGCCGACCACGGGTCAGAGTTGGTTTTATCCTGGGAACGAGTACCCCGATATCGATATCGTGGCTCGACATATTCGCCCCGAGTCGTATTAAATATTCAACTGCAAACTTGCGAATATTACATAATTATATAACATCGTTAAGGTGCTGCTTCTTGAAATATTTGTTGGGTGCGTCTTTGATGTGCGGGGTAAAGGTACCTTTTCGCTTTCTATGTTACTGCAAAATTGCATGCAGCAAAACGCTCCGATTTGTTAATAATAGGCAAGTTGCCGTCATGGATGGTACATAAAGAATTTTAAGTCAATCGGTAGTTTTCAGCATTTAATTTCGCAGAAGCGCAGTGAGAAGGTAGCTTCAAGCACGATAAATCCGGGAGAAACCATATCTATCGGGGAGGCCGTATGACTATCGCTAATTTCTGGCTCGCAATCACCGTCTAATGGTTCTCAAATTTTCCGCAGGTGGGAGTCCGACATCCGGGGCGACGTCGTCGGGAAGCAGTCCCGGGGGCGGGTCGAACACGTCCAGCCCCACGGGGGCGAGCTCCTCTACGGTGCAGTCGAGGCGGCCCACGGTCCTGGCCGCGAGGACGTCGAGCTCTGCCTCGGGGTCGTCGGGGTCAGGGAAGCAGCAAAATGGCGCCTTCGTGACGTCTTCCCTGATCAGCAGCCTGGCCTCGGCTTTGGCCGCCAGCACCGCCCTCTCCACGGCGACGAAAACGACGAGCTCGAGCCCAGGACCCTCGTCGCCGTGCTCGACCTCGACGTCGACCTTCTCCGCCTCGCAGTCTCCCGGACAGACGCGAGCCCAGTCTCCTCAGGGTCGGTCCGCCAGCCCGTCCAGGAACACGGGCACGACCTCGACGACGTCGACGACGTCTCCCTCGTCGTCGTCATCCCCGCGGCAGTCCTATCTCCTGCACCACCATCATCATCATCGCACCCACCACTTCCATCGCAGCCACCATTATCACCAGCACCACCATCACCACCACCATCACCACTCGAGGAAGGTGCCCGCGGCGCTGGACCACCCCCTCGAGGCGCCCACCTCGCTGGGGACCTGTCCGGACCCCCTGGCTCTCGGAGATGCTCCGAGCTCGCCCGCTGAGAAGAAGTTCTGCGACGCTCATCATCATCCCCAGGTGGTCAGTTCTGGGTCCGAGGCTGGCAGGAGCTACGCCGACCTCGGGGCCCAGGGCTCCGCGACCTCGACCTCCGTAACCGAGACCGGCAAGACCGCCTCGTCCTCCTCCTCCGCTACCGCCGCCACCCTCGACACTCGCGCCCTCGCCGAGGCCTCGCGCAACCTCACCCAGAAGCTCAAGCAGCTCTCCTCTGAGGTACTCACCCCGCGGGTCGACCTCGCCGAGGTATACTTACCGAAGCCAGTTCTCCCCTATTTATACGTTTATTCACTTTGGAGTCGACTCGATGCTGTTTCCGGAGTCCATTTTATACCGTACTGACGTAATTACATATAGTAACGTCGTTCTGGACATACGGATAAAAATTCAGAAGTTTACATAAAAAGCTAGAAGTATACTAAAATTTGCTCGATAATTCGTGGATTAACCAATGGCGGCGCTGTAATCATCTCTGCGTCTCTCTTATATATCATAGCGAGTTACACGCGTTCTTTGTCTTGCTAATAGTACCCCGCCTGACGGGGTCTCTCTTCCTCTCGCACCTGAGATTGATAACGCGTGCGATCTCTGGTTTGCGCTGATTGTCGAATTTTTAACCAAACTCGTCGAGCATCGAGCAGGAACTTAGGATTTTTTCATGGAACCTCTGAATTTTTTGGCACGAGTCACTTGCGCGGTGTCGACATTTTTGTGGAATCACAGTTGGCGATCGTTGCTCCCATTTAGGTCGTTCATTCGATTCATTCATTGTTACGGCGAGAATATAAATTATGGAGGCAGCAACGATAAGCCTCTTGGTCGGCTTAAGTGTACATTGTCTCTCGTTCCGCAGGAAAACGCAAGGCGTCGCCAGGGCGCGATCATCGAGAGCATGCACCATCACGGGAAGGGCGTGTACTCCGGGACGTTCAGCGGCACCCTGAATCCGGCGCTTCAGGACCGCTACGGTCGGCCGAAGCGGGACATCAGCACTATCATTCACATTCTGAACGACCTCCTGTGCGCCACGCCCGTGGCTACTACCGGCCATTATAGGGGCCACCACCACCGGCACACCGGGAGTCGCCAACAGTGGTCCTCGACGTCGTCCTCGGGCGTCACGGCCGCCACCGGAAACGGCGCGACGTCACCCGGCACCCACGACTCGACGAATCCTGGTTATTCGTCAGGTAAAATTGGGCAGGATCGAAATAAATCATGATTTTTCATTATTGGAAAAAAATAAAAAAATCGTAGCATCGTTTTAAGCATTCAATCTAAGAGTGACGTCGAAAGGGTCTCACTTATGAAATTTTTCTTTTGAACCGAGTCTACCGGATCGTTTGCAATTTTCCTGCGTAAAAACGGAGGCTCTAGGGTATTTGTTAAATTTGTTTCTGTCTGCTAGTTTATGCGAAGGATCGAAAGTCACTTCGAGGGTTCTGTTCGCAGAGGAACTGTCGAAGGAGAACGAAGCCACCAAAGGAAAGATGCGGCGACTGCGCCTCGTGATGGAGCAGCGGAGAGCGAAGCGAAAAGCGAGACGGCAGGCCCGAGCCGCGCCCTACACGACCCAGTGGGCAGCCGTGACCCCTGACCCCGACCCGAACCACGACCCCAACACCACGTCGACCTCGACCGGAGGAGGAGGCGCGGCCGGGCCGAACGCCGCGGAGCCGCAGAACGAGCCCGAGCTTCAGCCTTGCAGCCCCGAGCCCGTCGTCGCTTGAAATTGTCCATCGTCCTGGTCCTCCGTCGACGGTCGGGACAACCTGGAGAAGTTCTCTTCGTGCCTCGTCCACCAGTGCGCAAAATATCTAAGGCCATCTAGATCCGACGAGATCGAGGGGCCAAGACGCCCCGAGGCGCCATCTTTGCAATTCAGTAGCCTGGTGGCCGTCGTCGCTTGAAATCGTCCCTCATCCTGGTCCTCGGTTGATGACGAAGACAGCTTCAAGGAGTTCCTCTTCCTGCCTCGTCCGCCAATGTGCGAAATATCTAAGGACATCTAGTTTCGACGAGGTCAAAATGCAACGAGGCGCGAATTTCCTGGGATCCTAACGACCGATTTCCATGCCACGTCGTCGCTTGAAATCGTTCCTCGTCCTGGTCCTTTGTCGACGGTTAGGATATCCTCGAGGAGTTCTTCTTGTGCCGTCTACTAGGGCGCGAAATCTCTGAGGCCATCTAAATTCGACGAGGTCGAGGGGCTAAGACGCGCCGGGGCGCGATCTTCCTGGGGTGTCCTCGCGACCGATTTCCACACCGGGGTCGGCTCGATCGGGACACCGTGAATGTTTATAAACGATTTCAGTCATGGTGACCACCAGGACCGATAATGAGATAAGGAGTCCCGAGTGCGCCAGTCGCGTCCTCCTTGTACACCGACGGACATGAGTGCCTTCCCATCATGCACTGGCGACCATATTCCCGGGGAAGGCCTTCATGTCCGCTACTGTACACCGGCGGACGTGGTGCCACCGATATAAGAAAGGGGAAGGCGTTCATGTCCGCCAGTGTACACCTAGGATAGGATATAGAAGGCTTAGGGAATTGATTAAACTTTTCTTTCGTTTCCTCGGTTCCTTTTGGACCTCAACGCCGTCAGTTTTGCGCACGCCAGCCCTTGAGGGGGACCTTGAAGACGCGGCTCTAAGCCAGGGGGATTTTTTTTTTTTCGTTCTTTTCCATTCTTTTCCGTTATCGAGCCAGATTAGTGCCTTTTCTTTTCTTTCTCACTTTTCCGTTCTTAGGTCGCGGGGGTTCCCCCGGATGTGGTCGCGCCTGCGTTTCGGGTAGGACTAGGCGTTCTCCGGGACACGCTGGCCCCGGTACCGCCGAAAGGAATTGTAAGGACGATCGACCTCGAGCCTTTGACTGTGCATCGTGTAATATTACGTAGCCGGAAGTAAGGCCGAGGGGAGTTTTAACGTAAGTCGCTCTATCGCGTGTACGTAACCCGCCGTTGCGCGTAAATTCGCTTCGTAAATATCGTCTCTCGTCGTCGGTCGTGCGCGCCGCGCGAACGGGGACCAGTGCTGGGCAGGGTACAGGTGCAAGACTCTTAGGGCGATGCGAAGGTGCCGTCAGAGATGTCTCGTTTTCGATTTTTCTCCGTACTGGGGGTACCGAATCGTTTCAAACATACCCACGTGAACGTGGAGGCTATAAGGAAGGACGCGACATTCGTGAAAATCCACTTTTTAACAATTTCTTTACAGACATTGTTAATATTTGTATAAAANTTAATTATAATTTTTTTAATAGCATCCCTGCAGAGGGGGGCGTTGTCGGCGATTCAGGGCGGTCGATCTTAGTAAAATTCGAGGATGCTTGTTTCTATTTAGTGCATCTTTTGCATCTATGCCCAGCACTGGACGGGGCACTGGGACGCTCAGAGGGGTTCCCGAGTGAACGTGGACCTTGCAATTTTTTTCGTACGCTTTCGGACCACAGTCGCCACCCTTGAGAGATCAAGGAAACGACGGAGAAGGACGGACGCTCGTCTCTTCGGCATATTCCTCGAGGGTCCCTCTGGCGTTTGATATGCCTCCTTTAGCGAGGACCACCCTTTTAGGAACTCTTTAGTTGGCTAACACGAGGCGATGGAGGGAAGTCGGCGGACTGGGTGGTCCGATAGGTAGAGTTATCGTAGGCAGGGGCTCGCAGCGATTATCCGTTCCTTCGGGTCACCTTGCATTGTCTCCAGCGACGATTACGCGAGAGGCCGACTCACTGTACCCGACACGGAACGACGTGGAGCGGTTCCGGCACGTACCGGCACCGGTACGACAAAACTTCGTAATCCGCGGTTCGGTGCAATTGTTGATCACCTAATTAATGTACCAAAGGCGTTGCGGTATACTTTCAGGTACGTGCCTGACATTCAGCGGTAAAAACGTCTTTCGTCTGTAGATTTAAAGGCGAAGCGAGTGTGGCGTCCGAAAGGTCTCATTTGTGAAACTTTTCTCTGAGCTGGGTCTATCGAATCGCGTAAGAATTTTACCTGTGTGCCAAGGCCCCGAGGAAGGTTCTCATACCCGTGAAATATCATTTTTCTCTTAATTGTTTATAAACGTTTCCTTAGTTTTTTTTTTTTTATAGAAAAATGAAATTGCATGGGTGTTGGAACCTTTGAGGCCTCCGCGTTCACGTGGCAGAATTTCTAGTAATTTAATATATTTAGTTTATACAAAAGTTTCATCAATGATTGGCCTCGCTGATATCCCTTTCACGTCACCTTAAGGTGTTATAAAAGTGTCATACATATGTATATATATAATGATCCTTTCATATCACCTTAAGTGATCGACGTAAGTCATTGGTACGCGCTTTACGAACTTTTGCCGGAACGTGTCGGAACCGCGACGTGTCGTGCCGCGCCGGTCAGCTCGGACCTACCTTCACCGCGCGTCGCTGCCCGGCATTTTTCCCCTTCCTTTTAGTCACTTGTTCGTGTACGGGGACGTGACGGTGACGCAACGATAATGGTAATCGACGCCGATCCCCGGTCCATAGGTGGTCCTACTGCATGGCCTCGTCGCCAGGATTCGCTTAGGTTTATTAGGTACTAAACAACATGATATATCATCACCTTACAGCATACCGCGTTAGGTTACTTAGGAAGAGTTATTATTACGACTATATTACTACCACTACGCTACTATTACTATGATTATTACCGCAGTTTCTTCGTTTTCCGAACCGGCTCAAGGGGATTGTAACATATACGTCTGTCGGACCTTGTCGAGCACCGGAATATTAAAAGTAAGAGAACCGGCCGGACGTCGTCCCGGCCGGGAACGGAGACAAACGACAAAACAACAAAAATATGGCAATAGCACAAAAGCGAAGACGCGTACGTAACCTCGTTTGCGGGTCTCTAGGGTGTAGCCCGTTTATGGCGGTTTATAAAGTAAGTTCGGCGCGCCCCCACCCCCCCCCCAGGGAGGGGACGCTCTGTATTTTTTAGCGAGGCGCGCCGCAGTCGCGCGCCGATCTTTATCGTTATTGTTATCGTCGGCGGAAAAGAGAGAGAGAGAGAGAGAGAGAGAAAGATGAACGAAATGATGAGACTTTTGCCGCTAAGGCGGATGTCAAGGAAGGGAGAGAGAGAGAGTGTGAGAGTGACGAGTTTCGAGTTTCGAATTTCGGAGGGTAGAGAGAAAACCGGCCACTTCTCGGTGGCTCCTTTGTTCCGACTTTTCTTTTTTTGTTTCCTCTCTTGTTTTCGGTTTTTTCCAACCACCCCGCCCCCCCACCCCTCCTCCTCTCAGTCTAGTGATACGTAAAATGCGAAATTGTTAGGCGTTGAAGGTTGTGTACATTAAACTGGACCGTACGGGCGTTTAGCTCCAAATCGTTTATTTTCTTTAAATTACCTCTTACACTCTAGCTCTTGATGTACGAACGTAAAAACTTACATCGATCGCGCCCCCCTCCCCCCCTTTTTTTACGTATCTCTCTTGCGGTTCGTCGACCTATTCGATGGGCTTCTTTTTTTTTTCGCTTTTACTTTCTTTCTCTTTCGCACTAACGAGCGCGCGCGCGCGCGTTGTCCCTTCCCTAAGAAATGTTATCGATGGTCGACCACGATTATCGAGACGTGCGCTCGTGCAATTGTTCTTATCCTTTATTTTTCAATCTACCATTTCCTTTCTTTCTTTATTATTATTGTTATTATTATTATTACTTTTCTACATCTATTTTGGCAAAGACAGGTGAGACGAGTCTCATCTGTACTTTAATAACGAGTTTGTTCATCCACCAAGGCTTAAGGCCGGTTGCACCAACATTCGAGTTAAAATCCTTAATCGAGGATTACTTAACGCGCGATTAAAATTAACCAACCGATTTAAGGTTACCAAACAATGGATCTTAATCTTCGATTAGTTTAATTTTTTTTTTGGTTCAGATTAACTAATCAGTTGAGAAATTTCATCCTGTCTGCGGTTGGTGCAATCGGCCCTTAGTTTACACCGATCACTTGATATGAGTACCAAAGGCATGGATTTAGTAAACTGTCCGGGGAAACGATAGTGTATCGTCTTGGTACAATACGCTTAAGATGTGCGTTCCATGGCGTATTGGTACACCGTTGTTTACATCGAGTTTGATAAAACTAATCCATAAGGGGATGTGGAAGTGACATCTAAAAAGTACATCGTTCCAAACTTTACAACCCGAATACAGAGTCTACAAGAACGGTCCTGACAACCGTAAAATAAATTTCATTTTTCGTAACGGGTAAAATTTTATTTTTAATCCATTTTTTAAAAATGTTTATAAGCAAATTTAAAAAAATTGAAATATTATGGATGTCGGGATCTTCCTTATATATCCCCCATATTCACGTTGTCAAAATTGAACGATTAGGTAATCCCAGTTCGAAGAAAAGTTTGATAAACGAGGCCTCATTGACGTCACTTTCACATCGCCTTAAACCGTCGGTGTAAACTAACCTCTTAGAAGTGAATCCTCATTAAAAAACGAGCCGATCATGCGACTCCTCGACGTGTCATGAGCTCAGAATAATCGCCAAAATCGGAAACGCCGTAAATACAATGATTCGTGCCGTTTGTCGAGGCCTCTCCAGCCATTGACATTGTACAATAACAGATGCCGAAGTCTAAGCGCCACTGCGAGGAGTATCGGCCATGATACTGTTTCCTAAACTTAACGCCATAAACCGTGCTTAGAGAATTAAACGATAAAAAGGGACATCGCGTCGTAATCGAGCCACCGTTAACAAATGATTCGCCGTATCAAATAGGGGGAAAACTTTAGCTATAAGCCCTCGCTCAAATAAACCCTTACAATACGCACAAGCGACTCTGTAAATGAGACGTAGAGATCGAACCTCTTATTGCACGCGGATTTAACACGCTCATGATCCTAGGGTCCCGTTCAACGCATAAAGCCTGCGTTATCGGAAACGAATCGGTTAATACAGGTAATTAATTAATAACAGTCGCACACTGGGATGTGATTGCACATTTACGGCGTTTTCGATTGTCGGGGAGTTTACGAGAGGGCTTGAGAGTGGGAATTGTCGGGTCGAAGGGGATGCAACGCCATATTGATAAGGAAATGGACGGGACCGAGCGGATTCGTACTCGGCTCTCGAAGGTAACATCGAAGTCCCACGGCAAGAATCGCAAGGAACAGGGAATTCCATCGAGGCGCGTCTTTCGCCAGACGCAAGGACTATGTACAATTATGGCACGGGACTGTACAACGCGAGGGTTAAAACTTCGGGGTCACATCTAACACCGTATTTCATATTTTGTTTTTTCTTCCTTTTTGGCAGTTCCGTCGCACGGTAAGATAGGGTTGGTGGGATCGTTAAGGTGGCATGAAAGTGGCCACTGAAGGATCTCGTTTATGAAACTTTCCTCCGAACTCAAGATACAGAATCGTTTGAAATGTTATCACGTGGATATGGAGGCCCTACATGGAATATAGGGAAAGGTCCTGATTTTTAAATGATTAACTTCTTCACTTTTGTAGTAAAAAAAGAATCAGGAAAATGGGTTTCAGGAGCTTCCTTAGGACCTTTATATTGGCAAGGTCAAATTTTAAACGATTCGGTCCACATCATTGGGAGAAGTTTCATAAACGATTGACCTCTCAAGTGCTACTTTCATATCGCCTTAAAGGTGGTTGTACACGTTACGATAAATCATGGCGACTCGTGATCTGTGCAGTTAAATCTCTACTGATCGGTTTGCACGGATTTATCGCAAGGACTTATCGTTACGAGCGCAGCCACTTTTAGACGCTAGGTTGATCGCGGGACCACTGAAAAAGGAAAAGCAACTTCCCGGCGCCCGGGAAATCAGTCCTGACTAGTGGACTTCATTTGTCGTCTTGTACTCGGTTTTTGCGGCGGTTGTACAGGGTGTACCGGACAGTCCTAACGCCGGATGCACATCGGAACACAAATACCTACATACAAGGCAAAGTGAAACGCATATCTCGTTCATAGCTCTTTTCCGTATACGAACGAAATCAACAGACTCAACGAACGAAATTTTTTTAGATGCACCACTGTGAGGCTCGCTTTGGACTGTTCTGGAACATCCTGTATACATCAACCTATCTCTCCGTGGACTCCGGTCGAGGATCACGCTCAGTACAAGTTGATCTTTTTGGTAATTGTTTTGCGACACATGTGGCAGGTCTTCAGGGGCGTCGAGCAGTGTTCGCAGGCCCCATGTCCGCAGAGGAAGGCGACGTTGCGTCGACGCTCCATGCAGATGCTGCACATGTTCGCTTCCTCGAGGTCAGCGACCCTAGTCTCGAGATACCGCAAACGTTCCAGGTCCTTGTCTTTCTCTCGGTCCCTGTCTTCCTTCTTCTCCTCCTCGACGGCGTTCTTTGAACTCTCCTCCCTGTCGCTGCTCGACGTCCGCTCCTCTTTCACTGATTTCAGGGACAATTGGAATTGTGAGCAATCGAGGAAGATCTAATCTAAAAGACGTTGTTCAAGATCGCTCCTCACCATTGACTGCGACTTGGGGCTTTACGTCCCCATGGGCACTTGGCGATTTGACGCTGCCTCCGGGATCAATTCTGTTCTCCTCTTTCCCGGTTATCGCGAGTGCCGCGTTTCCGCGACACTCATCGACGTCGCCGGAACCGCGTCCCGACTTCCTGGAGCTGTCGCTTGTTGCCTCAGACTCTGCGATCGTCTCTATCCGGTAGATCGGCGGCACCGTGCTACCGGAGGACGGATTAGTTTCTATCCTGATGGGGAAAATTGGAGATTATTGTTAGTGGCATCGGATGGTAAATTCGCAACTTATTCGCGACTTATATACGACTTATTTGCGACGTATTCACTGCCAACTTACTCTAACTGACTACCATGACTATGTCTTTGGGATTGGTAGGTCCGAAGCAAATCGGCAAGCTGCACGGCCTCTGGATCCGACTGCAAAAGGTCGAGCGGTGTCTTCCCTTTCGCATTTTTCGCCTGCTCCAGGAGAAGACCACTCGTATCGACGCTCACCAAGAAACAGGCCAGAGCTAACTCTGTTCTGCCGTTCTGGCTCGCCAGGTTTTGCCAGATCTGCCGTAAAGTATAATTCATGAATAAATAATTTACAATATATATAAAACTTTTCTCCAACCTGGGTGCATAGAACAATTTGAAACTTTAACACGTAATCATGGAGATCCTAATGAAGGTCTTGAAACTCACGAAATTTTATTCTTCGAACAAAATTCTTTTTGGTGCATGTCCAGAATAAATACATTTCTTTTCGGAAAATGAAATTTCGCTAATTTCAAGGCATTCATTATTACGTATAAAAATTTCAAATTATTCGGTGTACCCACTTTGGAGAAAAATTTTATAAATATTTTGAATTTTTGGTGTATATATGACACTTTCATAACATCTTATTTAGATAGCACATTTTCAGGACAACGGATTAACAAATCACGTGTATAAACGCCGAACTCACCGCGTCTATCAGAGGAGAATTTCTACTACTTTCGGCAGTAGCCACCGTGACGGGCTGATTTCGACTCTTTGTGATTGCAAGATGCAACGCCGTGTCGCCATTTTCGTCGGTGGCCGCGATGTCGGCATTGTGGCTGACGAGCAACTCGACGAGGGCCCACTGGCCTTGGGAGGTGGCTAGATGCAAGGGTGTCTGACGCCGGTTGTTCCTGAGATCCACCATGGCTCGACCTCCGGTTTGCAAAAGAAGAGTCGCAGCCACGTCTCGATGTCCATTCAGAGCGGCTAAATGCAGCGCGGCAAATCCATCCTCCTTCTTCACATCCACCAATTGACTTGCTCGAGCAACCAGTCTCTCTGTAGCACTTTAAACAGTACACCACTTTTCACTGTTCCGTTTCAATGAAGTATTGTGCAATAGCATATAATACATATGTACGTATAGTATATGTATGCAAATAGTTTACTGCTATTTAAAATTAAACCGAAAAATAATACTCTTTCAAAATCGACGTCAGTGCAGGATAATAAATTAGGCGACACGTACTACGCGTTTCCTTTGAGTGCAGCATGATGTAAGACGTTGAAGTCCCGCTTGTTGCGAAGCGTAAAATCCAGTCTTTCACAGGAACAGAGGGCATCGATAATGTCCAGAGCATCTTTACCAATCGCGTCGTGAAGCGCGGTGTCACCGTAAGAATCTTGCAGATTTACGTCGCAACCATGACGCAGTAATGTCATGACGCAAGCAGCGTTCTGTTTATCCACGGACACGTGCAGAGCACTGCACCGACCATTATTTACAGCGTCTATTACCGCTCCACGTGATAGGAGCAACTCCATGATTTCGGGTTGATTGCTGTTTATGGTAAATAATTATTTCTGTATGTTGATTTATTTTTTTTTGAATTTATGTTAAGGTCTGCGACCTGGCTTATAGATGAGACGTCACTCACCCAAATGCTGCGTAGTGTAGGGGTGTGTCCCCATCTTCGTCGACTGCTCGAAGGGATGCACCTGCGTCTAGTAAAAGAGTACAAAGTTGTCGGTGACCCTGGTGTGCTGCGATCTGCAAACAGGTCTTCTTGCCTCCTCCGGGTCCACCGGCTCGTACATCCACCTTGCCAGGATACTTTCGAAGGAACTCTCGTACCGCGGAAATACCAGTCTCTCCTCTTGCTGCTTCACGCAGAAACTTTTGTACCTCTAAAGCTGTACCGTCAGGCATTCCACTATTATCAACTGTGAATATTTGATCAACATTAGAAATGGTGGATACTATGGGAAATTATAAACTGTTATTTGAATGTGTGCTTACCTAGTCGATCTTTCATTCGATTCACTTCTGCAGGACCTGGGCTTCCTGCATTGGTACCGGCAGGAACTAGGGTCACACATAATGGATTGAACGTCCAAGTGTGACCATCCAGTGCTACCCGTAAATCACCGTCAGAATAAATCTTAATTATTTTACCAGTCTTCCCAAGAGCCTGTGAAGTAGCATTTTTAAAAATTATATATTAAGTTTTCAATAAATTGCAGTAAATTTTGTTTATTTGTAAATGCAAAAAATTATACAAATATGCTAGAAATGTCAAGAACATACCGTTTTCATTACGTCTATCCATTCCCCATGGTTCCTCTGGTAATGCTTGACTATCGCTGCGTCACTTTTTACCCTCACTATGTCACCAAGTGAGAAACTGTCTTTACTCGTCACTTTGGTCAGAGCTCCGGGATGAAATGTCCACCTATTATCACATCCCTCGTACTGTACGCGAATATCGCCTTTATCCGTGACACGGTGAACTGTACCAACCTGATTTCATAAGATTTTGTAATTACCTCATTGACACAGTATCTAATTTTTTATTCCAGTGACACAGAATGACAACTAGAAATCGACAATACCCTCCCGATATAGTCTGCCATGCGTGGATTCCATCCTCCATGGCCAGCTTGCATGTCCTTTAGCGTCTCGACTTCCATGAGTACTTTTACTTTATCCCCAACGTTAAAAGTTAAGTGACGAGGACTTGAAACAACACTACCAACAGCACTATCATTTGTAGGAGATGCGGCACATTCACCTTCAGGTATTGTTAATACTGCCTGTCCCAGAAGGGGTAAATGTTCTTTGTAGTATGTGCCAGATGTTGCTTCCTCAACATAGCGAAGGTCCACACAGCCCTTATAACCCAATCGATAAACATTGGTACTACCCGAGGACCACGTTACCGTTGCGACGGAACGTCCACTCTCATTATCCCAGCCTCGTATATCCATTACTCTCCCAGTTTTCCCTATGACAATTAATATTATGATTATTAAGTATGACACTAAATTTATAAGGAACTTCAAAAGCAACACTGTAAGAAATATATACCCCTTCCACCATCTTGATTTCCCCATTCCCAGTCAGGACCACGGACCACCTTTGCTCCGATGAATATACCTTTTAGTGGCACTTTCAAATCTCCTTCTCTTGCAGGTAACTGAATTCTATAAACAATAATCATTGGTAATTACAATTATAGTCAAATGTTTAATAGCTTCTAATTCTAGAGAATATAGTTTACCCGATCGAATTTGCTGTCTGAAACCTTTGAAATGTATGCGTTAAATCATGTACATCGGCCATATAACACTGCGTGCACAGATCATAATCGAAACACTGTGCACACTTCCAACGGATGCCGATAATTCCGTGTCTTTTGCAACCGTCGCAAATAATATTCGTATGCTTCACTCCTGCAGCGGCATTGTCGAATATTAGCAGGTCAAATGCTCCGTGGTACCCTATTCGATAATTGCTTCTAGATCCATAGTCCCATTGCACAATTACTGTCTTGTCTGGAGTCTTATCCACAGGATTCGCATTAGTTCCTGAATTTCCAGAGGAAGGAGGCTTCCCAATTTCTATGACTGTGCCGGCATGGCCTTCTCCTCCGTCCTGATTTCCCCATTTCCAGTCTTGCCCTCGTACCACCCTCAGACCAACTTCCAACATCTTGGAGCTAGGTTCCAGCTCCAGCAGCTGTTCAGATGAAAAAAATGTTAATTTTCAAGAAACATGAATTAAAGTGCAAAACATTGAACCAAGCCCCATGAGATACGTCATACGCAATGGTGGTAAATAGTTAAAGCATCGTAAAAGTTATGAAAGAACAGATTGCTACCTTTCAAAATCAATGTATCTACTGTGCGGGAAAGCGAGTGCATATGCTAAAAGTATCTTACGAACCTGAAGCGAACGTCTGAATAGTACTTAGGGCGAATCATAGACCAGACAACGACCGCCACCGAAATGGGAAAATACAAGAACCTAGCTCTGACTTAAATTAATCAGAAAAATAGTGCGAGATGTCTCAGACACACGACATTATGTAGGATCATAATCATGGATTAGAGAATTTCTCTGAGAACATCCCATACCAGAGATGAGTTGGGAGCATGGACAGAGATGAGTTGGGAAATTGCTCACGGGCAGGATCGTGCGATCGCATCCTGTGCTGCCCTCTGGTTTCGTACGTTTGCTTTCACCAGCTCTGGTACGCGACACCGACGCGTGCCCCAAAGCTCCGCATCACGTCGACTTCGTGGCATCAATGTACTTAATAGTAGTAGATAAGTAGATAAAGTCGAATGGAGCGTTACGATTGTTCTTCCCTTACCATGAAAAGCGAGCAGTATCGATAAGCGTAGGTAAGCCACCACCATCAACTACCGCAGGGTATTACCATCACGAGTACGTGAGCCGCCAATGGCGACTGGTAGATGGTACCGCCATCGCGAGTGCGCGAGCTCCTGTCAGAAATTCGTTGTGCCGCCCTTGGGGGCAAAAAACGGTGAAAGCTAACGTACGAAACCAGAGGGCAGCATAGGATGCGATCGCACGATCCTGCCCGAAAGCAATCTCCCAACTCATCTCTGATCTCTGCTACCAACTCATCTCTGATGTTACACGGTACAGGACCCCGGCGCCATCTGTGAGAGATGACTTAAAGTCAATAACACTCTCCTTCAATACAGCCGCGAAATCTAATTTTGAATCTGAAAAATCATTCCACTAGTTCGTATTTAATAATCTATTTATAAACTTTTTTTAAAATACAATGAGTTTGGTAGATGTTCTACTTGCTGATCTTGGGTTTATTTAATCACGCTGTAAACCCAGTATTTTGTTGTTGCCAATGTATTTTCTAAATTTCAAGAGCTGCTTATAAAAGTAAGAAAATAACACAAGAGCAGTCTGGTAAATATTTAATTCTTTTTTATCCTATTTTGATTGAGTACAATTTATAACAGCTTACAAACTGCTGCGTTTTACCGATTGTAATTAAATGTCTAAATTCTCGCAAATTCCATTATCCGTCGTGCTATTTTTATCGCCATTCAATAACACGTTCGTTATATGACCCCAGTTATAGGGAAAGTCTGAGTAGTTCAAGAACTACTGGCTTTAGATGAAACAATGCCCTAAAACGTTGTAATAACGGAAGGCTTAATAATGTAGTAAAACCTAACATTGTTTGAAAACAATGTACAAAGTATATGATCTAAGAGAAATAGTTCCAATGAAAATAATTTTATGCCTTACAGATGTACATACGTCTGATATACACTTGTACAAAAATAACAGTAATACATCGACAATTGTGTTACTAATTTTAACATGCAGGGTCTCCTTGATTTTTTCTCCTTTTCGATTGTTCCTTCCGATTGCAATTGTCACCTAATGGCCTCTTCTGCACGGAAGGTGTTGAGTTATTATTATTTAATTGTTCTCTTTTATGATTAGATTCGTGGTCTCCGGTGCTACCATTTAACAAATTTAAGGAACTAAATCCAACAAATTGCAATCCTTCAGACATTGCATTCTCACGCAGCTCCCGGGCCTCTTTTTTTAACTTCTGCTTATCTTTCCGTTTAGTTTTGTTCTTCTTTTTCTTTTTACCCTCCTTATTTGTAGACTTCTCTTCAGATTCCGAGTCACCTTCCGAGCTTGCAGAACACACGTCTCCATTTTCTTCTAACCGTTGGTTACATATTGCGGCAGGTTTACTATTTTCTTCTTTTTTCGGAACACTAGAAATAAACATTCATCATAGTATTGTGCGAAATTTCATCTGTACCTATTTTCATATCTGTACTTACATATTAATAGGTGCACCAATTTGGGAAGCTAGTCTGTTATAAGCAGTCTTAGCATCCTTCGCTAATGTGACAAGTACCCTGTACGCTGCCATACTTTTTGCTACAGTATTCCAGTCCCACGCTTGTGGAATCTGGTGTGAACGGACAGTGTGTAATAACGTGAATAGGAGGCAAATAAACTTCTGTCTAACTTTTCCAGTTCCCTTATCTTTATTCGTTATAGACGTTTCGTTATTACTTGAATTAGAATTCAATTCTTGCAATAACTTTATGCTGGTCTCACATAATTTCTTTTCCATTTTAAGACGTACTTTGGTATGTTCTTCATCGGATCGAATTAATCTGTCATTACGATAAAATATTGTTAGGAATTCTAAAGCCTGTCCTCTACGGAAAGATCTGATTGAGCTGTCAAAGGCAAAATCAACCTAAAACAGATAGATTTTTGATTATAATTTAGATATCCATAGAATTATTCTTCAAATTTCATTCAATGCGAATGAAAGTTTACCAGAAGCGGTGCAAGTTGCCAATTTCCAGCCCAATTTAATTGCAGAATACTCTTGAATAGAGTAACGGGAAGAATGCAGTCCCTTTTCCTAAAGAAGGCTGTTAAGTTCTCGCAACAGATCTCGACAAATGTAGTCGCAGGTAAACTTGCCTGTTGTACACATCTAATGAGAAATGTGCAACACTCGGCTAGTTTATCACCCATTTCTTGACAAACCGAAGCTGACCGTTCCCCTTTCTCAATTAATGCCTTTAAAAAATTGTTACCGACCCATTAGAATATGATTTCAGGTAAAAATGATTACATATTACTTGAAACTTCCATAGTACTAACCTTCAGCACATCGACTAACAGCTGTTCATCTACATCCTCTGTATCCTTGAATTTTCGAACCGTTGAGAACTTTTTCAAACACGAACGGACACGATTTTCCAGAGGTTTCTGATGGGGATCCTTAATGCAGAACTCCAACAATGAAAACATAGGAACTAATATACTCAATGACAGTACCATCGAAGGACAGGAGTCTAGATACATGTCCAAGAGATCTACAACACGAACTCTGAAATGTGTTAAAGCCTGCGCAGATTTTTCTTGCTTTTTAGAACGGGAGCGCCGATTCTCCCGAAGAATTCTGAACGCAGCTGCCAGTGACTCGTTGAGTCGTTTTCCTTCTTCCTTACTGATCTGATCAACATCAATGTCTTCAACATCTGTCACCACAGAAGCGTCACCAAGTGCTTCTCGAACAGCTAATCTTAATCGATCCGTTACAGTATCATCTTCTTCTTCTTCTCTGTCCTCATCAGCTGATCCATTACTGGAATCAGTATCACTCTCTTCCTCCATGTTTTCATTTTGTTCACTTTCGGTTTCTTCGTTACTTTCAGCGCTGGAATCAGAATCACTTTCTGCAACTGATGATTCCTCATCGTGTTTATCATTTTTCAAAGTAAGTGGGTCTCTGCTACTTTTTATATCCAAAACCTATATAAACAATCGAAGAACATCTTAAGTAAAATAAATACATTCGGTTCTTATTCATATTCATATGTATACGATTTTATAACTTACTGCTAAAATCTGTTGAATAGACGATGCTGTAAGATATTGACAAACGTGTGGGAACACGCAGCCAACTAAAGAACGTAATAGATGACTATTTCGTGACAGCAACGACAGCAAAAGGTCGACGACGACATCAACCCACTCGGGTTCATCTTCATTGATACTCTCACTATTTTTTTTTAATTTATTAAATTTCTTTTTGGTCAATCTGTCAAAACAACTATGCAACTCATCAATAGACCCAATAGCCATCTCTGGGTCTGAAAATAATTGTAAACCCATGTGCAGATTCATTGTATGAAATATAGGTACTGCTTCTGTGTTCTTATTCTGTTCTAATTTTGTAATCAGACTCATCATTCGTTTCCAAGCTTGCTTAGCTGTGTCTGCTAAAGGTGCTCGAAGCTTCAACGATGGTTTCGAGAACACTTCTTCATGAATATGATGTACAACAACACTTAGCACGGTCCTTAAATCAAGTAATTTTGGAAACTTCTGGTCTAAAGCACGATAGAAGCTGTCCTTAATTTGTGCTGAAAAAACATGTAATGAGAATAATGCAGAAATAAGTAGAAAAATAGCTGACGATATAAAACAAATTTATAATTACGTGATAATTCCCCTCCAACAGTAGGTGTTTCACAAAGTCCTAAAGTAAACAAAAATATGAGCTGATGTAATCTCCAATCTTTATCCAGGGTAACCGCAGGATGTCCAAGCAGCCTAAAACGAACGATGCATTTGTTTAAATAAAGGTTATTAGTTAAAACACAATAAATTCTAAATCTTGTACTTGAAATACCTTGTTAGTAACTGAACGGCATATACTCTCTCAGCATTTGTCCAAGATTCTGTTTTCGTATTACTTTTTTCTTTGGCTTTACTATTTTCAACAATTTCTGTATATACTTTTGCTATCTTCTTTACACCTTCTGCATTTAACTTTGCAACTATCATTTGTATAATTTTTGTGCCTGTTATTTTTTCTATCATTAAATCGCCTGGATATAGTATCAGTTTCTTGAGTACTGCAACTTGAATTTTCGTTTTGACTTTCTCGTCAGAAACAGTGGTCACTAACAGAGATAATGTCTCCTTAAAAGCTAAGGAAACTTCATCGTTTTTAATCTTCTTATAAAGTTGAAATCGTTTTAACATGTGTTGCAAAAAATTAGGTGTCAATAAAGATGGTATTATGCTTTTGTCCTTAACATTTGATATTATTAATTTGAATATTTCCAAAGATAAGTGTTCCATACTTTTTGATGGTTTTAAAAAATGCTTGTCTATGCCTGCCCAAAATTCTAATGTATAATCTGTTAAGACCAATTTCTCACAGAATATTTTATACACCGGGTGTTGGCAGCAGACAATCCTGGGTGTGTCCTAAGTGCAAGTATAATAATAATTACTATTCGTTCAACATATCGACAACATTCTATTATAGTAAAATTAATGAAAATTTGAAACTTACAGTCAGCAATTCAATAAGATTCTGAATAGACTTTGCACCAATAATCTCATCTGTTTCTAAATGTTTATTCAGAAATGTACTATTAACCATGGCAGGAAATTTATCCTGTATAAAGAGTAGGCCATAAAATGTATCCAATGTTTGCTCTTTCCAACTCTTGCCATACTCCTGTTGAATCAATGGCCATATTACGGCGAAGGATTTCTTGTCAAGTTCTGTTATAAAATCAAAAACAAACGAAGTCGAAATAAAGGACAGGTAACTGCGCTTTTTTCCTGCAGTTAACAATATTTCTAAGACTTTTATCCAATCTTCCTTGGAACTTTTTAAAAGAATGTTAGAACGTATAAGTGCTCCACAAGTCAGTATTTGACCCATGTAAATATCTGCATTTTCCTGATGGATAAAAAACAATATATAACAAACATTCAATGTATTTTACAATTGTAAAATAGTAACTTCAGAGAGATTCTTACACCCTTTGAATTGCTGTTAACGGGATGTAACTGAACATTCATGATGTCCAAAATCCTGGCTACACTAACATGAGGATTCGTTGATAAAAAAGCAGTCAACGTGGTATATGATCCCTTTTTAATAGCCACCCGAGAAGCTCCTAAACTTCGCAAAAGCCTTGTCAGTGCATAATTTAATTCCTTATTCTCTGTTTCCATCTGTCAAATGTTTAAGAAAATAAATAATCCAATATGTCATTATGAATTTATCCAGCAGTCGTCACCGGGTTGTTTTGAGGTTAATATCACGTTATACTTACTGGATCATATCGAGAGAAGTATTCCAATAAACCCGCGGCGCCAGTCAATCTGTCGCGCTCCTTATCTGCCGTTAGTTTTGTAAAGTAATCTAGAACCGTCGTACCCATTTTCCGCATTTTTCGCTTCTCGAGATCACACGATTCCGGACCCGCCATGTGGTACGAGCCATTGGCAGCCATATTGACTCTCTGACGACCATAGACTGCTCGAAAGTATAGATGTCATAGCAAAATGAAAAAAATGCGTGCACATATTTGGTTAGATCCAATGAAACGAGCCAATGGGATCATAAACAATTTTAGTCATAGAAATCTTGTCCACCTAACCAACTCATCCCTGCTAATACAGCGTTCCATTTATGAATGAAGAACAAAATAGAGATCATTCGGAAACGATTTCAATCCGCTATCTCCCGCCGCAACCTTCGCTTGATCGGCACGAGTCAATGGAATTATTGACATCGATATATTAACAGGTTAATGTCCGGGCCCAGAATTTACACCGGTGAAATATCATTCGAAGCTTGTTTTTAAGCCGGCATAAATTATACAGTTCACGTATGCGTCTCATGATAAATTCTAAATGTAAAACGGTCTCGTGAGAACTCCATTGTGGGCGAACGAACGAGCTCGAGAACCAGAGGGCGGTTTCGATCTATGATCATATAATTTGTTTTTCCCGCCCACTGATCGGCCGTCGCTTCCATCGGCGACTCGCCACCGAATTAATTGAATAACGTCACCGGCGTGATTTGTATTCTCGTGAAAAGCTTTTTAATGATAGCGTAAAAGTGCCAACTTGATAGTAGTGGCTCGCTTGACTCGCGCGGTTCTAGCCAGTTTCGGGCATCCAACATGGCTGGTCGAGGTGGTTACGTAGAATTGAGGCAAGTATCGCCAGTAATTTCCCTCGTTCGTTGATCTCGCTAAAGTTTTCGAGTGTTTCTCCCTTGCGGGACAGTCGCAACCTTCCAGCTGCTCGGAAAGGAATTCGGTTTCCGTCAATATTTTGCCGCTTTAAGGTTAAGTGTTCGGCCGCCTGAGTGCAGCGCAACACTTTGCGAACGTGAGGCTGAAACACGCGGCTTTATTTTGACCGGGCAGTCAGCATTCGAGCTGATTTAAAGATTTCCTACCGGGAATCGGCGAATAGTGGTGATCTTTTACTTCTTGACTTCATGTGTCGAATCTCCTGGATGCTTGAAAATATTACGCGTTTTCTATAAATCGTAAAAGTCTTTCGTGGTAAGATAAGGTACTCGTGAGTGTCAAACGTTGCAAAATCCTGGTTTAACTCGACTGTGTTAATGGAGACGCTTTCTCGGCCTTAAATTGCCTTCAGGTCCTATAACTTTAACATTAGCAATTCCAATGTTGACATATGTCATTGTGCTGTGAACTCGGAATATAAGGAGTTAGTTTAACGTTCAGAGAAATGTTAATCCAGTTTTATGGTTAAAATATACTTCAGATGTAATGTTTCTTTCAATACAGTGACATTGTCTCTTGTATCTGTAAAAGTGGTTCTATATCTCTCAATGGAAATATTACGATCAACGTATCGAAGTAAAATGAAATCAGAGTACATCGTTTATGTGGATGTTGAAATAATTTACATTTTAAGAAGGACAGAAAAATTATTATGGATCTTATGGATTTAGATATAATATTACATTTTCTTTTTATAAGTTACATCATGTAAACCATGTTTTAATTATTCTTTGATTTTACAGAGATTTTTCAGGTGGACATCGTATGGGCAAAAAACCACTGCCTACATCGCCACCTTACATCGCATATGTCGGAAATTTACCGAATGGAATTGTTCAAGGAGATGTAGATAACATCTTTTCAAAACAACATGTTAAAGGCATTCGATTGGTCAAGGATCGCGATACTGATAGGTTTGTATACTTTTATTTCTTAGTAGTTTGTGTACATATGTATCCATGTTGTAAAAAAATAGAAATTTTTAATGAATTTTACTTTTCCACAGGTTTAAAGGATTTTGTTATGTTGAGTTTGAAGACCTGTCCGATTTGGAGGCTGCGCTGGAGATGGATGGCGTTGTCGTGGTAGAAAATAACTATATCAAAATAGATGTAGCCGACAGCAAAAGAAACGATCGAGGAGGAGGGTTCGATAGGAGAGGGCGAGGACCTAGTGGTAGCGGCAGCAGTGGAGGTGGTTACAGAGGTAGAGATGGTGGAGGACCTCGAAATGATCGCTATGGCGGAGATGATTATGGTGAGACTCACATTAAAAATATATTACTAATGTTATCCTTTAGTATATAATATACCAAAAATGAAGTTAAAGTATGTTTAAAATGAATAGATATGAATAGTTTTTACATTTAATTGCATTTCTGCAGGAGGTTTTAATGACAGAGGGCCAAGAGATAGACAAGGAAGTAGTTTCGGAGATAATCGAGGACCACGGGGTGGTGGTTTTGGGAATTTTAACGATGATGGTGGTCGTGAATGGTCCCGAGGTGGTGCTCCCGGTGGAGCCGGTGGTCCCAGTGGCCCCAGTGGTCCCGGTGGTCCCGGTGGTCCCGGGGGTGCCGGTCCCAGAGCATACGGTAACAGACCAGGTCCAGGTCCACGTGGTGGACCTCCAGGGTCTGAGCGTAAATTGAACGATGAACCATACCTTAAAGAACCACCCCCAGGTTATTATAATCATCATTTTTAAACTAATACATTTCAAAGAAGCAGCCTTTTAACATTTTCACATCCATTATTAGACACCACGGGAAGGAAGAGGCTGGTGCTGGCACCAAGAACGGTTCAACGTCCCCTGAATGCAATCGATGAGTCGAGCAAGTCGAGCTCAATTTATGGTGGTGCAAAGCCTCGAGAAGAGAACGTGAAAACTGTCGAAGACAAGTAAACACCATAATTAGTTTTTATTTCCCCATATATCAGGGGACAATTTCCCTCGAGAAAGAATGAATTGTCTTGCAAGAAATGAAAAAATGGTTAGATCCTGCAGCTATCCCAAACTTTTGGAAGTTGCAAAAAGGGCCCCAGAAAATCTTTAAAATTTACGTCAACTCCTCATGGGAGAGTCTTCCCTTGCGGAAAGTGATAATTATAAGAGTAACCCTGTGCCGAAGTTTGCAACCATTTGGTTTGGTGTTTGGTATTTAACGTATGAAATTCGCCACTCCGCCACCTTTCCTTCGTCTCTTCATCGATACAACTATAAGTGTGCACCATTCTCAAAAAGTTCCACTACAAATTAGACAGTTTGTACCTAAAGAACGTGTATGAACAATGTATGTCGAGCGGAGTTGGGCAATTTTTTATTCGAAATTACGGTAGGAAAATAAACTACAAATAATCCATAATCAGATGATTATTCGTTATTTCAGTTATTCATGGCATTCGTCGTTCGTATTACTCCCAAATGTTTTTACAAGGCATTTTAGCTCTAAACGCTACGAAAAACTTTCATAACGCGCTCTTGGGATATATTCTCTGTCTAATATTATAACTATTTTCACTATTTAAGGTATTAACTTAAATTATAATTTATAATACAGTTTATGTCGATCGTATAGAAATTTCATATGGATAAATTATTGACGAGATGTACATGAAGTATTAAACGCTACTATCTATTTATATTTAGCTTAATCATTTAGGGTGTTACGAAAACGAATGAATGATTTCCCCGGATAACGAGTGACTTAAATTATGCCCAACTCTTGTGTCGAGTACTTAGAATATTTGTGTAAATCATGGCTATTTAGATGATGCTACCCACACGTACATGTTGATATTCATGCCCATTCGTGTCGGCTTTATGTCTATCCGTAATAATGTGCAGAGAGAGCAAGTGAGAATGAGTGTGAGAAAGAGAGAGAATACGTGTACAAATTATCGAAAGGCAAGAGTACCGTTATTTGGTGCGCGTGTACGGTTACACTCACGAATCACCGTAACCGCTCGGTACGTACTCGGGCGTGACATTTCTTTGGAAAAAGAGTACAAAGAGGAGCTGAACCCCCTTCCCTCTAACTCCACCAACTCGCCCCGTGCTCGATCCTCCTACAGAACTTTTTACGTTTGTTTCATAACGCTAATGTATCGTGAACGATTGTTTATTTAAGCTAACTGGGACAATTGTTCAGGCGTACCTGACCTACCTTGAATAATTGCCCCCTAGGATTGTTTATCGGTGTGTCTAACGATAAGCAATTCGTAAGCAAAGAAGCAGAGGTTCAAAGATTTTTACATCATCGAGTGGTATGAAAGAATTATTATACATTAATTACTACCAAGTAATGTATCATTTAACTATGCTAATGGTTTGAGCGTCTGCCGACATCCACGATCGGTGACCAAGAGATGATAGCGAAGAAAATGGAAAACCTTGGAGTAACAATGAATACTATGTAAAACTACGCTTGTATATGATAACATTTCCTGAATAAAGTAGATGTTTGCCTCGTATCCATCCTTAAGGACAAGTATTTCATATAGGCTGTCTTTTCTGTACTTTTTGTAGTTTCACATTGTCCTAAGCAATTGTCCATTGCCTTTAGTATAGGACGTGAGGCTGACATCGAGTCGATGACTGGCACTTTATTATACAGAACGTTACTCAATGTTGCATGTCTTTGGCTATACAATATGCGCCATTCAATTTTATTATAGAAACTGCGATAAACTTTGTCGGTACATAAATACATCTTTACTGTAGAATTAGATCGTATTGTTCAACCACTTCATTTAAATTTTGTCGTTTTCTTTTTATCTGTAAAACTTAACGTATCGCATTATCTTACCACTTCTTTGTAGCCATGGAAATTGTAAACTTATAAGAATTTATAAACAAATCGTTAACATCGGAAGGTGAATATTTGAACCTCTATGTTATATCTGTTTTTCTTGGCTCGAAATAGAAATTGAGTTAGAAAGGATTAAAATTATTAGCGGCAGTATGGAGAATAGTAATTACTGTACTTTAGAAACTGTATAGTGGCAGTCCTTGTTAATCGGGTAAACGAAGCCGTGAAGTACATAAACGAGTGTAATGCCGGTTCCAAATCTCAAATTGCCACGCCTCGCCTTCCCCCAGTTGGGGGGTCGCCCCTCTCTCCGGATACAACATTCCCGGTCTCGCAGTCCGCAGTCGATTCGCGTTCCCTTGCAAATTCCTTACCGTCCCCTGTGGCCCCTTCTATCCGCTCCACCTTGTAGTCCCGAGTTCCTCCTTGTTTCCCCTTCTCACTTTCCTCTGGCCGTTCGATCATCGTAATTAATCGCAGTGACGGTACAAAGACCCGCAGTGTCGATTATTCGGCCAATGGTAACGGTGAATCTAGTAGAGATGCCGAGGAGTCATCGAAAGGTTTGAACGAACATAACCCCACTCCTGACCGCTCTCCGACCCTCCTGTCAGTGTGACTCGCGTGACAATATCTGCCATTTCGACGAATTGCAAGGAAAATCTGGAACGCGTCGTTTCAACTCGGAAGGGAAACGTTGCTCGCGAAATGTCCACAGAAAGTGTGAAGACGGTAAGCTTCTACTTATCACCTTTATTCTGGTTAATCCAATTGGTCTGTGATTCGACATATATATTGACGGTTTTCTGTAAATTAAAAAAAAATCTGAATAATAATTCCATCTCATGATTGTGTCTCGTATTTTAGTTCGCCAGTCTGGAGACTCCTGGGTACGTGGGATTTGCGAATCTGCCGAATCAGGTACATCGGAAATCCGTGAAGAAAGGATTCGAGTTCACATTAATGGTGGTTGGGGAGTCCGGCCTGGGAAAATCTACTCTTGTTAATAGCTTGTTTCTTACGGATTTATATCCAGAACGAGTAATTCCTGATGCCGTTGGTATGGATGGTTACGTTGAATTTAACCGAAATTAGTTTATTTCAGTTTTATCTTGCAATAGCATGGATTTCATATGTCCTGCTTTTGATTTCCAGAGAAAACAAATCAGACTGTGAAACTTGATGCTTCCACGGTGGAAATTGAAGAAAGAGGGGTTAAACTTCGTCTTACAGTGGTAGACACCCCTGGCTATGGAGATGCAATCGATAATACGGATAGCTTTAGAGCTATTATACAGTATATCGACGATCAATTCGAAAGATTTCTTTGTGATGAAAGTGGCTTGAACCGAAGAAATATCGTGGATAATCGAATTCATTGTTGTTTCTATTTCATCTCACCGTTTGGTCATGGGTATGTGTTTTTCATTATTTGGATCTGATGTTTAGGCCGGAATTAAAAAAGTTATTTTATTCTTAATCGGATACTTAATCTGACTTTTGTTCTCAAATTAGATTGAAACCTTTAGACATCGAATTTATGAAAAAATTACACAATAAAGTGAACATTGTGCCAGTGATCGCAAAGGCTGATGTTCTTACTAAAAAAGAGGTGCTGCGTTTAAAAAAACGTGTTATGGAAGAAATTGAAGGCAGTGGTATCAAAATCTACCCGCTACCAGATTGTGATAGCGACGAGGATGAAGATTACAAAGAACAAGTGAGACAATTGAAAGAAGCAGTTCCATTTGCAGTTTGTGGTGCAAATACATTGCTTGAAGTCAAAGGAAGGAAAGTTCGAGGTAGACTTTATCCATGGGGTGTCGTCGAGGTGGAAAATCCAGAGCATTGTGATTTTATCAAGCTAAGAACAATGTTAATGTGAGTTATTGCACTTAGTTTTTAAATTATTCCAACGATAACGTTATGCATCCAATTCATGGCTTAATTTTACAGTACGCACATGCAAGATCTGCAAGAGGTGACGCAAGAAGTACATTATGAAAATTATCGTAGTGAAAGATTAGCTAAAGGAGCACCTGTACCTCCTCGGCGTCAGACGTAAGTATACTGACTTACACACAGTTAATGATTAATAACATTAATTATCAAAGCTCTTCTCACATAACGATTTATTTATGCAACTCTTAGGATCATCGAGTCAGAAAAAGCTAATTCTGTGTCAGAAAAAGATCGTATTCTTCAAGAGAAAGAAGCAGAACTGCGCCGTATGCAAGAAATGTTAGCAGCAATGCAAGCGCAGATGCAACAGCAACAGCCTTAATTTAATAAGAGCGAAACTTAAGAAAGGTAGACAAGGATCTTGATCTTGCCAGGTGCCAAACAATCGGTAGGAAATTATATGAACAAAGGAGTCTATTCATGACGTTGTTAAGAAACGTGTCGGTCGCATAAGTCTTAACATCTTCATGCAAGGAGTTCGTTGGTCGTCTTAGGACAACGATTTAAAGGCAACATATTTGTTCCTAGATAGATTGTCTTCGATATCATCAAGATATATACTTAATCGATTACACTGTACCTTGGTAGTATATTTTTATACATAGAAATGAAAATCCATTTCGTGATCATTTCTAATGTCTATTATTCAGGAAAGAATCCATGCTAAAACAGATGTCATAAATGAACTATTATAACAATCAATGAACAGTACTACCAAGAACGATACAATCATACTACAAAGTGCCTTGCAATTTCTTTGTGACGCGTTGTCGTCTTCCTCGCATCGCGCCTATAATCCATGAGACTTGTTGGAAGTACACTCTGGGTATTGTATTCCTTTTTATTTGCAATATGTATCGATATGTAAGAAAACGTATTATTAATATCGTATCAGATAATATCAATATTTTATGGTTTGTTGCTATATTTAATTTGGAGTCATTACAAAGTACAAGATGATATTTTTCCAAATGATGTAGTTGGATAACTGCAAGATTAAAGAATGTTAGCTATAAATTTAAGAAGAATCAAAGTTAGAAAATGATACCGCATTCGTGAGGTTTGCATAAGTGATTTTATAGAACAATACTAAAAATAACAATAATTGTTATTCAACCAATTTTATATATGTATTCCTAATATCTTCCATACCACGGTTTCTTAACGGTGAGAAAAAGAGAAAAATTCCATTATACAAATTTGATATTCCGTATATCACAATTAGTGTTGCTAGTAACTGTTCAGTAGTCTTTTCCTTTTCGTGATGTGATAAGCAATGACAAGAGTTTGTACGTTTAGAAATATATATACATATATTTTTTTTTTAGAACAAACGGAATTTGAACGTTTGTTCTGAAATCGCAGTAGCCTTTAGTTTTGTCTTCATTGAGAAGAAGACAATTTACTTTTGTATCTCAGACCTCGGTCATCGTATTAATGACGTTTTATATTAGCACAGATTTTATACGATAAATGTTCACAATCTTCTTCATGAGTAACTGTCCGAAAAAGTGTGCATAAAAAGTCAGATAAAAATCAAAGTGCACAAATTTTGTATTGTACAGCTTCCAGGTTCACATACTCATGCGAATTGTACTTATTTGTACGAATTTTTTAATAAAGTGTGTACGCACACATTCTTATATTCACAGAGATGTAGTACCACATACACTGCTTATATATTTTCACCTATTTACAGTAATCCTATAAACTCTATCCTTCACGATTTGTGCATATAGTAGTCGATCGCTGTTGAGAATGCTGCGAAACCTGCAGCACCAACCAAGCCAGCCTTCACACCGGCTAGAAAAATTAACATGAAAATTAAACAAATGGTAGAAAAGACATATAGAATTAATAACTGGCAGTAATACCTCTCAGGCCTATTAAGCCTCCGGTCATTCCTCCAGCATAAGTGCCATTTTTCCAGTCAGTTTTTCCTCTATACTAAAATTAAACAAAATGGTTTGAAAATGTGAACTGGTGAACCTTTTACAAAATTATTTTGCAACATAAGAATTATACCATTAATTCAAGCTGACTTACTGATTCTATAGAACATTCGATAGCTGAAAATACGCAACCTACAACAGCAAAGTTCTTTGCGTAACTTAACGTCGTGGTCTTCATCTCTCGAAAAATTTCTTTAACTGTTTGCTGTTTTTCGATGCTAGCAACATTTGGATTCACACTCGATGTAAACAGTCCTATTGCAGCTCCTAGACCATAACCTGCAAAATAAGGTCAAACTATAATAGCAAAAATATCAATAAACAGAAATATTTATTTGCTACTAAGGACGTACCTAACACGCAACTCATTATACTCTTAAAAGCGCAACTTTCCATCACCATTTCAATCGTTTTTTCTTCATTTGACTTAATATGTACAGGTCCCATTATCCTTGGGATTATAATATTTTCACGAAACCTTTTTTGATTTCCTATTAAGTGCACTGCAATCTTATCCCAGTCGGCATCGTTAACAAAAATACGCTTTTCAGGCTCCGCAGGAGCTGGGGGCTTAGGTGGGTTGACAGAAAACATGTTGATAAGTCTTTTCTAGGAGTTGTACTTCAATAATTCCTAACTGTAACACAAGAAATAATATTAACAAAGCATTACAATTTACGTGTCTCAATGTAATGGGACACGGTTAGAATACATCGATAAGCCTAACTAACCTGTTCATTTTTTTAATATTCCAATTAGGGAGATTATATGAAATCGACATTATTTTAATTCTTGAATCAATGGTACGGGAAAGTTCTCCAATTTTTTTCACTGTCCATCACCAATTTTTCGGGGAGAAAGCAGAAATACTAGCGTCAATGCGTGCCCCTCTCAATAAACTTATTTATCTGCGAATCGTTAGACAAGATCGATTAGTTCGCCAAGTCGATGATAGATGTCGACACGTGGTTGTTCTGTTAGTTCCAACCTTCGCGTGGGGATAGTATGATACAGTTAGTGCGCTAATCGCTCTATAAATAATGATAGATAATTCTGAGTAACTCCAAAAACTGGATTCTATCAAAACAACAAATTCGCATTATTATTAATTATTAATAACATAATTCTTGAACTACACGAATGCAATCCGCGGAATCATCACAGAAAGCATACGAAGAAGATGAAAGTAATGTTTACTTCAGCATGTTAAGTTTCTAATAATAAATAAATTAACAGTAATCATTCGTTAACTATTCATCGTAACTCACTCAAATTAATTTCTAAAAATTATACTTGTTTTTCCATAGAATTTAATTCAAAGTTTTTGTGCAGGAGAGGAGAGAGAGGAAATAGCAAGTTTGGTCTCTAAGCTACCAGTTCTAAATGACTTATTTCAATTGCATTTTAAGATTGGAGAGGGCACGTTTAGCTCTGTTTTTCTTGCTACATTGAAGACGTCCGAAGGGGTAAAGAAATTTGCTGTAAAGCACTTAGTACCTACTTGTCATGTTGGGAGAGTCGAACGTGAATTGAAATGTTTACAAAATATTGGGTAAGGATCGATTTAGTCATGTTCCGATAAAATGTTTGAATGACAATTAATTTCTTATTTGTCTATTTTTGCAGAGGTACGGATCATATTGTTGGTTTAGAATTATGCTTACGAAATGCTGGATCCATCGTCTTCATTATGCCTTATTTAAAACATGATAGGTTTTCAGTAAGAATGTCTTTTTCTTTTAATTTCTGTGATAGTACGATTTATTATTTTGTTGATGTACCTTTTTATTGTGTACGCATTTCTTCTAGGAATATGTGTATGATATGGATGTATACGAAACTAGGGATTATATGAAAGCACTACTGACAGCATTACGTAGAGTTCATAAGTTTGGTATAATTCATCGAGATGTCAAGCCCAGCAACTTCCTATATGATCGTTGCAATAGAAGGCAAGTAGTTTTATGAGTATGGTATTGCAGTAATTAAAGCATTGTGATCACCGCATTGATAACATCATTACTTTGTGGCAGATATTTGTTAGTTGATTTTGGATTAGCACAACAGTACAATGTAGAGAATAAATCCAGCAGTGACTTGAAGGTAGAAGTATCAGAAAATCAGACTTCCAAAAGAAAAAGGTCCGATGAGGTATAGCATTAATTTTCTTGACGTAAGAATAATGCACTGATGTCAAAATTTAAATTGCCCCACTTAAACGGACTTGTATAATTATTTAGAATACAGTCAGAGAACCTGTTGAAGTGACAAAAAGATCAACAGAAGGGAAGTGTGTTTGTTTTGGAAAGCCTAAGATTTGTTCGCTTTGTATAGTGAGACCACCACAAACTGCACCGCGTGCTGGCACGCCAGGTTTCAGAGCACCCGAAGTATTGCTTAAATATCTATTTCAAACCCCAGGTATATTTTTTATGTATATATTAAACACAATTTGCTGCGTATTATATTCTAAAATATTTCAGCGATTGATATTTGGGCAAGCGGTGTGATGATGTTGAGTATTCTTAGCGGCACTCAACCCTTTTTCCGTGCGTCCGATGACTGTACAGCTTTAGCAGAAATAACTACTTTATTTGGTTCCAATAGAATTCAACAATGTGCTCGAAAACTAGGTATTTATCTCATATTTTAGTAGTAATTCATGTTTCCTGGTTTTCATTACGTTTAAAAAATGAATGTACCCTGTGGGTCTACTTGCTTATATCGTTATTAATATTATTTTGTGACGTTTAATTAATTTATTTCGTTGGTATAGGAAAAAAGATTAATTTTAGTGAAAATATACCAGAAGTTGATTTTGTTACACTTTGCCAAAAATTACGAAAACGAATAAAAGGGAAAGCTACAAACGTTCTCGATAACGCGGGCAAGGTATTTTATGTTGTTTACTTTGTTTAAATATATCTTTTTGTTCCGATATAATTTGAAAATTGGTTACGATATGATTTGTAACATAGGATACAGTAGTAACTATTTTTTTAGGCACCTCAAGATTTAAATTATCCAACACCGGCGTATGATTTATTGGTCAGACTTCTAGAGCCAGATTATAAGAGGAGGATAACGGCTGAAGAGGCCTTAAATCATCCATTTTTTAATTCTTAACACAGATGCAATCGAATAGGGTTTGTTTTCGAACCACAATCAGTAAAGAAATAATATAATATGAAGAATATATTTTATTAGCACTACGGTAAAATACGTAGCCATACATTATAAATTATAAATAACTGCATTATTTTGGCACAATCAATTGAAGCCATATTAAGAAAAAAATATACAATAGACTATATTAAAAATCAAAGTATGTCGATGCGAATACAGAATTCGATAAGGCACTTGACTTACTAAACAGTCATGGTTCTAATACTGTAAATATAAAAATTGTGTATATATATATATATTAGTTGCAATAAATGTTCAATCAGTCTATAACACACGATTTCTTGTTCTGCTAGTTATTACATTTGATCCTATCGTGGAACAAGTTTTATTATTTTTATAGTCAGAATTCAAAAACCGGAAACTTCTCATTTAACAGATTTTGAATATATATTGAACCAGTAATGAATTTAAAGCTAATTTAATCAGTCAACAGAAGCTGTTGTCTCTGCAAGTGGTGCCTGTAGATCATCAACATTTTCTTTAATAAGATTCCACTTTGCAGCAGCTTTTAACGCTTCATTTGCCAATTCAATAACTTTCTTATTTTGCACCGTGTCACTTTTTGTTAGTGCCATTAGAATTTCCAGAATGTCTGTCTCGACGATTTTGGAAGCATTTTCCATAGAACTATTTATTGTATTTAGTATTGCAAAAACTCCTCGATGCTGGATATCTGGATTTGGATTGGCAATTAAAAATTTGAAGCATTCTAACCACACTTTGATGTCAAGGATCTTTTTGCAAATCTTCTGACTTGCTGAAGTCAACATGGCTAATGTGCCACTAGCAGCTACACTCGTTTCTTCGTCCTCTTCTTGGCAAAGAATTAGAATATATTTTAACCTATCGTTCTCATCCTCAAATAAGGAGACAATGCTATCAGACATGACTAGATTGTTGACAGCCTGCGTTGCTGCACGTTTCAGCATAACATGCTCCTCGAACATGTATGCTTCGATTTTGGGAAACGCTCCTTCTTTTATAATTCGCTGCCTCACACTTTCACTTACACCAGCTAAATTACACAGTGCCATTAAAGATTCAAAGTTCTCCAAGGCAGAACATTCCGGTTTGAGGAGATTAACAAAAGGTCGTACCACTTCCATCATCCTTTGTCCAGGGAATGCTACCTCTGGATTTATGGTGATTCCAATCCGAGCGAGTGCCTGCGCAGCTTGTTTCTTCCCCTTGTCTGTACCTTGTAGGGCCAAAGGTAAAAGAGCCTTCGCACCACCTTGCTGCACAACAATTCCACGAACTTCGTGCTGACTGCAAATTGCATTGAACACTCTCGCTATAAGTTCTTTGCTGTTTTCACTTTCCGTCTTTGACAGGCTAACTAATGCACTGGTCACTCCCGCTTTGGCCAAAGTAAGAAGTCTTTTATTAACGAAGTCTGGGTCGTCAAATTCGTGCTCTTCCGGTATATGATGTTTGGCAAACTTTGCCAACTCAACCATCTCTGGTAACATTTCCTGCTTGTCATATGCATTACAGAGATTAACCAAAGTAGTGACTACGCCATAAATGACCGATTGATCACCAGTTTTTGCAAGATCTATCATTGCTTGAATGGCTTCCTTGTCCTCAATTAATTTCTCTTTCACTTCTGCGTCGAAAGTAAGATAAGAAAGTCCTTCCACTGCCCACTTGCTCATGTCGTTTTGTTTGTTAGGATTAACCAGAAACTTCCGACAAGCTTCAGCCAGCTTTTTCGTCGCCCCGTCTGCGAATGGTCTAAAAGTCGCGTCTGTTCCACCAGAACCACCCAATTTGCACAAACCCACTAGCGCTCTTACGCGAATTGAATCGTCCTTTGAGTGATATAATTTCTTCAGTATATTTACACCTTGAGATATGATCGCTGTTGCTTTGTCCTTTTTCGAAGCTGCAGCAATAATACATTCGCAAGCAACTTTCTGTTGTAGTGGATCGTCGGTTCCTGCCATTACAAGAATCATCTCCATAATTCCTTCCTTTGCCAGAAATGCATTTCCAACATCTAGCGGACCCAACAATAAAGTGGTCAAGGCAACGATAACTCGAACCTGAAATATCGATGTATTAATTTAACTTTACAATCAGTTATGACACGATAAACACTATGTTGTAATTGTTAGAAAAATACCTTTGACTCTATATCTGGTGTCAGCAGTTTATCTTTGATGAATTCATCAATAGCATTCGTAAATTTTTCCTTTGCAGCATCATAGTACATGTTTTCATAAATGCGTGCCAAGCACACACTGGTAACGGTGCGGGTTGATGATGTTATTTCCATGGCAGATTCATATTTATATTCTTCGAGCTCACTAGCTACTTCCATCAGACGATGTAAGCCATGAATCTCTACGAGTCTTTCTGCCCAGTTTAATGTGGTATAGTGAACATTGCGTATAATTAATTCTATAATGGCATCACGAGCTTGTCCAGATATTACACGACTTGTTACACTGTACACTAAACAAGTAAGCAATGTGTCAATTTCAGCTTTGAAGCGTACACACATTTTTTCATCTGGTTTTGAGTCAGGTTTGTTCTCCAACCCGCTATATGTGTTAAGAATGATCTGTAATTAGATTGTGAAACACAAACTGATTAATACGTTAATGCATTTTTTCTTTAATTTGTATTTCAATTCAATAGAGTATTTACCTGCATGCAATATTGAGCAGCATTAACCCTTTCTTGATTCTTACTGTTAATCATTTCCAAAAACCAGGGAAGGCCCAGTTCCTTTATAATCTGAGTCTGCCTGTCCGCGTTGTTTTTGCATAATTCTGCTACGATACGTATTGCAGTAATTAGTATCTCTTCATTTTTCTCAATTTTCAGTAGTTTCATTATTTTTGACACAATTCCTTCCTTGAACATAACTTCTGCACCAGCTCTTTCTTTTGCAAGTACAAGAAGATTGTTCATTCCAGATTCACGATGTTCTTTATCCTTACTTATGTCAAACGCAACTTCAAACATTTGTGCTACCTGTAAAGCATTCAAAGAAAAGATACAAATTAATCGACCTGCTTAAATGAAATAATTATACTCATTTCTATATACATTTTAAATAAACCCATACATACCTTAGCATTCACACGGGAATTTTCTCTGTTACGTTCCTGTACTATCTCAAACAGGCGAGCAATGATTGGCTGAATAGCTTTGTTATTTGGATCAAGAGAAACTACTTTTGCTGCATCTCGATATGCTTCCTCGTATCTTTGCAAAGCATCGAGAGCTTGACAGCGGCGAAATAATGCTTTTGGATCGTTTGGACATATCTTCAAAGCGGAGTCGCAATCTTTAATCACATTGCCATAATCACCTTGCTTCAAGTAGGCAGCAGCACGATTTTTGAAATAAATTGCTTTATCCACATTTTCTTCTTTTGTAAGATTCAATGCCGAAGTATAACATCTTAGAGCTTCGAACCAATTGCCTTTATTAAATTCCTCGTTTCCTTTCTCCTTCCATTCTTGAGGAGTCAATTTTCTTGATGAATCTGATATCGTCATGATTGCTTGTTCTGAAAATATAACTTTTATTTTATCGAAACAATTTTGACTAAACACTGATGAATTACTCTGTCAAGAATAGATTAATAGTAGAAGAAATACGTAGATACTCGTTAATTTAACAGAATGTTTGAATTGAAGACTTACATTTCTTATAAATTTGAAAATGATCTGTGAATCACAGAGTACCTCCCAGACACAGTAAAACTCGATACTGTAAAGCACTTGATTGTTGAATGATCACTCTGCAGCGCTGGTGCGGTATTAAAAAGGTATAAGAAGGAACTCTCTCGACGCTGCTAGAGCATTAGGTTTATTTTAAACATTGACTTTCGAGCCATTTGGTGGAGGAAGAAATTTCGATGGCAAAAATAGAATCCATGAATCCAGATGTAACTAAAATCAAAAAGTAGTCCATGTTTGCACAGATTAGGGCCCCAGTCCTCTAACGGCTGTGCGTTGAAACTATTCCACATTTAGCATGGACACGCTCCTCGTTCCGGGCGAATAAGAAAATTGTTCGATAAATATTAAGAAAAAGTTACTATTCTACGTAATGTTCAATATTAAATCTTATTGGGTAACCTAACCTCCTAACCTTTTATGCATTTTGAAATTAATAAGAAAGACAGCACAAACTGCGACAATAGAAATTCATCGCAAACAAGAGAGGAATCATAAATTAAAAGAACACTATTTTCAGCTAAACAGTATCCTGACCGCATGAATATTATTTATTAAAAGTAATAAATTACTTTTAATGAAAATTCTTAAATTCTCTAAGGATTTTTAAATTACCGTAACATTCTCGGTTATATTACTCGAATTTACAAATACTAAAAATATCCAGATTCTCCAGATATCAGAAAAATGGAGCTCCCTTTGAAAACAAAACCAGAAGACACAAAAGAATAAAGCTCAGTATATAACAGACTGTAATATAATGAATGTCGAAATTTATCACATGTTAAACAGAACAAGTTTAAATAAATTAATCCAAGAGACTGATGGCTGATTATACTAGTTAATTTCTCCTTAGAATAAAGTTCCAAGATTCACTTGCAGATGGCGTCACTCGATCTACAATTAGGGAATTTTCTGTCGCGTAACGGTTGCGCCGCGGTGATACTTTCTAGAAACGCGGTCGGCTATCTACGTAAACCGTTGATGTAGTTGTGCGAGATTTCAGAATGGCGGCCGTCTTCACTTAGGAGAGTTATCATTCCGCGTTGAGTATCGCGCGATCGTTGAGATTTAGAGGATTTCTATGTGTCTCTTATCGTGCATTTGAAGAAAATGATTATAGAGAATCCCGAACAATTCAAGGCGTGGCTCACCGCCGTCTTGGAGCCATTGTAAGTAGGACAGCTTACTCGATCGTAGCTTCGATGTGTGTGTATCTACTCGACGAAGCAGTCGCTCGTCCATGTGTTGCGCCTGTAGCCTGTCCTGGCTTAACTTACCCATGGAATGTTTACGTGTGTTGCTTTAGGGCCTCCACCTGACTTGCGAGAGACCTCCTAGTGCGGTAACGCGTTCATCTCTATTGAACTTTGTTACCAATATGTTACCCGTTCACTTCCTCCAAAAACAGCCTACATATGATTTCACCCAATTCCCATGCTTTCTCGTCTATGTAACTTACGTATAAATTGTTTACTGATATATCTTTCAAGTTCCTACTACGTTTTTCAAGGATTGGCCAATTACCTTTAACGCTACAACACCTTTGCTGTATCGTCTAATGTGACATTTCCTTCGGTCTGGAATTATTGCTTTGATAATACTTCATCGGTCGCTTAAAAGACTAATTTTATATGATTTCTACTAACTTACATATTTCTTCACCCATACAGCTTTCTTGTACATTCTATATGGGAGATGTTGATATGAATCTGTGAGCACGCTTTTCTGCCTCTTACAACGAGTCTTCGATACTTTACGAACTTGCATATAATTTCAATTGCTTTGTGTAATTCATATTCTTTGCAGTCTTAAAAATTTGTGCACATGAACTTTATTTGAAAACTTTTACTTTATTGTAGATGATTTAGTATAAATTTCTTGACGATTCTTTTTTACATATTTTTGGATTGCCCATCGAATAGAAAGAATTTCTGTAAGATGTTATTTTACATAGCTGTTTTATGTAATAAGGTTTAATGCATATAGCTAAGCCTAGGTTCGTCCAGAAGTCTGTAAGACTATTACTGTTGTGAAAATGATATAGGTTTGCAACTCTGAACGATACACTCAAACAATGTGTTATATTATTTAATTGTTAATACATCATAACTATATATGCTATTTTTTTATAGTAACAGCTTTGTATCCGCATGAATGCAGCATCATTAATTGCGGATACATATCTGCAGATAAGTAATGCTTAAATGCACAAAAAATGCTTATGTTTGCATGCTACAATTGCTTATATGTTGCATGATGTTAAAGCAGAATGAATGTTGGAAAACTGCATGTGTAGAGTATAATAATATGTATTCTAAATCAGTATAATAAATGTTAATATGTATGAATCTATGCTCTCGACGTAGCATAGGTTCCTGCGTTAAACAAGCAAATTCCAAAGCTCCGCCTTATTTGTTCAATGAAATTTCCAGGTGCGATGCAGATCCTGCTGCATTGGCTAAATATGTCTATGCTTTGGTGAAAAAAGATAAGACTTTGGAAGAATTGCGGGGTGGTATGGTTGAACAACTTGATGTATTTTTACAACAAGGTATGTATGGTAATGCAAAGTATTAGATAATTCCATTCATAATTTACTCCTTCACTGCTTCATAAAAGTTTAGAAATAATAATGGAAATGTAATTAATGTCTTAATTTTAACTACTAATTTCCATCAGAAACCAAGAACTTTGTCGAGCTGTTATTCAAGACATTGGAAACTCAAGAATATATATTGCCACCTACGAAAGGAGTAACCGAACGCGGAACAACACCACCTGGTTTAAATCCACCTCCACCTCCTCCAGTTGTGTCTGAGAAGATTCCAGAGAATATAATTCCTGTAGCTCCAGTGACGAGTAGCCCTCCACCTGCTGTTCAAGTGAATGGGTCCGCACCTATAACTATCTCTAAACGTGAAACTAGAAAATCGGATTCCGAAAAAGAAGATAAAGAAAAGGAGAAACGCTCCCGTAGCAGGTAAATAAATACCAAGGATTACATAAATTTAGTTTAGTGATAACAGCATATCATCTCATTTTTACTAATATATAAAAGGGGAAATCTATCTCAAATTATAAGTATCACCTTTTCTGATCTGATATAACACAACATAAAATCGTATCCTTATGCGAATATAGGTGAATTCTCAAATAATCGGAATTTTTTTTTTTTTAACCGAATGGCATTTGTTCTGTATGAAGCAAAACTTGAGTAAATAGTATGAGCTATTTTTAGTACAACAAACTTAAGTAAAAATTATTTCTGAAGAAATTAAATGGGCTGTACATAAATTTTACATTATACGGTAGTTGAATAATTGTTGATTGTGAAAATTGTGAATTGACAAGATTTATTGAACTTTCAAAGTATATGAATAAAGTGTCCACTTCTTTTCTCCAGTTCTAAATCTACTAAAAATGTTAAATTATGTAATCATTTTTTATGAAAATATGTAGTCATCCACAGAATATAAATATATAAATAAGAAAATTTATAAACATATACGAGGTAGAATTAAATGCAATGAAAGAGTTTGGTACATATCTTTTAACGAGGGCTATACAAAGTGATCTAAATTTTTAAATGTCTCGTGGATTTTTTTATAGGAGTGGTCGTATGCGATCAAGGACTAGGTCGAGGTCACGATCCTGGGAACGCGATAGGCGTAGGTCACGGAGTAGAGAACATGTTCGTCGTGACAGGGAACGAGATAGGAGTCGGCCATGGAGGAATAAATCTCCACCTCTTAATACGAGGAGGCATGATAGACGGTTCGTTATGAATATGGAATAATGCGAAATTCAATTTAACGAAATTAGGAAGAGAACATTTAAATAACCGCAGAATTAGAAAAGATCGTTTTCCATTATGCCTGTGTATAGTTATAGTATCGAAAAAAGTAACTTTGCATATATCATCGGTGTCGAAAATTGGAGAATCTAGTTGGGTTCGCCATGTATACGAAGGGGCACCAATTTTCTTAGCCAATAGTAAATTTGTATAATAGATATTCTGCATGTGTGTAAATTTCACTTTGTATGTAGTCTGTGGCACAGTAATAAGTGTCTAATATAAGGAAGAAAAGTGTACAGATTGTTATGTACAATTTAGAATGTTGAATAATGCACGTTCGATTGTTTGAAATTGAGAGCGAAGAAAAATAACTGCAGGGCTAAAAAAAATGATTTTAAGTTATACACATATGTAATTATACTGGCATGAAATAAGTATGTAATCGCAAATTTGAATGTTTTATCACTATCTGGACATAACGTATATTTAAGTCTCATAGACAATTATAATACAACTAATAACATCCATTTAATTTTTAGGCGCACTAGAAGTCGAAGTACGTCTCCGATACGGTCAAGAGTTCGCGATGCACCAGAAAATCGTGATCATAGAGCACGTTTTCGGAATAGATCACCGACTCCTTTGAGATCCAGGTCACGATCAAGATCGCCGGATCGTAAGAAAGCGGACCGATCGGATAGGGCGGAAGTTGGCAGGACTGACCGATTGGACGACAGTCCTGGTGGTGGAACACCAACTCAGGATAGTAATCATGGGGATGTAGATATGAGATTATCGACGACCAGCCAATCGATCCAAAGCGTCGTGGCGGTCGCATCTAATATTCCGAATAATCAAACTGGACCTTTCCAAATTAAACGACGTTGCAGAGACTTTGACGGTAGGTTCTTTTAATGTAGCTTCGCATCAATTTTCATACTCGAAACCATTCTTCTTATAACTGTGCAAACTATATCACCGTGATGATTTAATGATGGATGAATTGTATGTTACTAGAAAAGGGATACTGTATGAGAGGAGATCTTTGCCCATACGACCACGGGGCGGACCCCGTAGTGCTGGAAGATGTAGCTTTAAGTCGAGTTTTGACATTCGGTCCCCATGGAGCTCAAGCTCCAGGAACCGTTCCGGTTACTGCTATACCGGAACCCCCTCCAGGGCCGAATGGTAATGCTCCACCACCTCACCTTCCATTGGCGAGCTTACCGCCGCCTCATCTTCGAAATCAACATCATTCCAATATGGGTACGCGTAACTACTCTCGTTGAAAAATAATACGTTATCGATTATTAATAATCTCAATGCTTTTGTGGTATATTTATTTGGTGCAGATGCTTTTGCGGAATACAACCCTGACGCACCAAGCATGGAGCCCCGTATGACATGGGGCAGGCACCCGCCATCCGGACCGGGTATATATGGACGAGGTCAACGAGAACTGATCAGCGTGCCGGTGATTCCTCACACGAATCCACCGGAGATGACCCACTCGCAGAACAATCCTTTGAAGCGCAAGCAAGCATTTGATTTCAATCGCCTAGGGCCGAAGCAGCGGGCAGTGCACAATCCCGCTAACTGTTCGCTCGAACTTAAGAAAGTCCCGCGAAGCTTGAACAATATTACGCAATTGAATAATCACTTCTCCAAGTTCGGGAAAATTGTAAATATCCAAGTGAACTTCGGTGGCGACCCCGAGGCGGCATTAGTCACTTTTCAATTACCTGCTGAAGCGAAGGCTGCTTACAGGAGTACAGAGGCTGTGTTGAACAATAGATTTATTAAAGTGTTTTGGCACAATAATGTTAACAATAACGCTGCTGGCGGAGCGATCGAGAACGTACCACCTGGTAGGTTGATTGAGGATATGAATTTTCCTTTCGCTTCTCGATATCTTGATGTTAATGAATGTTCATCCGTGCCAGGTTGTCGACCATCCATCAAAGAGCGGTTAGGTGCGGCAGTGACACTTCCTACGAAGGCCGATGAGAACGAGTACGTTCCCACGCGTCGGTCTACCGAGGAGCAGACAACGCAACCCCTAGTTCCTGTATCACCGAAGGCCGTCACGGCACAAACGCGCGAGGACAAGGTGCTCGCCATTAAGAAGACCCAAGAGATGCTGGCCGCCAAGGAGACGCTCAAGAAGAAGCAGGAGGAAAAGCGGAAAGAAGCGCTCAAGTTGACCGCTGACTTGCGTAAGAGGAAGCAGGAACTATTGGACAAGCAGCTGGCGGAGATTCGCGCTCTTATCGAGAGGGCTGAGAAAAATCCCGAACAGAAGGACGCCATTATGGCGACGATAAAGACGATGCAACAGTCCATCGACAGTCTGCGTAAAGATCTGGCCGCGAACGGCCAAGGTGGATCCACGAAGCCGCAGGTGAAGTCCAGAGAGCAGGCGCAGAAGGAGATCTTGGACGCTGAGCTGGACCTCATCACCGCTCAACAGGAGGGCCAAGACGCGGGTGAGTTGCAGAAACGGCTCAACGAACTCAAGGCCCAGGCTGCGATTCTTGGCTTGAACACCGGCCCTAATGCTGGTAGAGGTGCCAGACCCAGTAGGGTCATACGGGGCAGCCACGTCTTGTCATACAGGGGTCGCGGAAGAGGAAGCTTCGCTCACGTCTCGGTAGACCATAGGCCTACGAGTCTTCTAGTCTCTGGATATGAAACCGAGGAGAAGGCTGATGTTTTAGCCCACTTTCAGGTACTTCTTACAAATTCTGATAAATTCAACGTTTAGGCACGTATGCAGGCTACGTCATTCACTAATCTATCTTTTGCTCTGTTATATTTCGGACTCCTGTTACGATTGATACTTGATGGCGATAGAGACAAACGAAACCCCGTGTTCTTATGCCGACGAGTTTTAATGTTTCAGCAATTTGGCGAAATAGTGAATCAAATAGTTGACGACGCCACGCCGTCCATCGTGATTAATTTCAAATCAAGGAAAGAAGCGGAGGTGGCCTTGGTTAAAGGGCGCACGTTCCAGGATAGACTGCTATCGGTTACTTGGGTCTCCGGACACCATTTACACCGTGGCGGTGGTGGCGCTGCAAACTCAAATACATCCGCGCAAACTTTGGCCACGCGATCCGAACAAGTTTCAACTGCTGCAGACGAGGAAATCGACTTGGAGGTAATTGCCTAGCGTTTGTAATATCAGCTTTACATTGTCGGTACTACGTGTTCTGGCAGCGTTCAAAGATAAGTAAATTGGCTCGTGCAAAGAACGTAATATAGCATTGACTGATGTTCACTAATTATTCCAAGTGCGTTAGTTGAATGTACTAAATTCTGTTAAGAACAGGTACTCTATCTAGATTTGTTTTACTGATATCTGACCGTGTACATTTTAGGGTGCAGCAGAAGCTCTACTTCTGGAGGAAAATGAAGAGGAAGAGGACGAGGATGGGGAGCCGCGCAGTTGGCGACGATAGCAGCGCCATTTGTGACGAATGTTTGGTATCTGATTCAGTCACAAGGGGCACCGTCTGGCCAAGTCTGTGTATATTAAGTACTTGCGCTACCATTGCACCGGCTAACGTTGCTATCGAGACCTCAATTTTGAAGATGGAATCAGGTTGCGAACACATCAACGTTATATGAGTGTTATACTATTTGTTATATTAAATATACCATGCGCACTGTAACGGTACAAAGTGGTACTGTGTCGACTTGCGCAATGAAAAGAAAGAAATAGACAACCACTATGCCAGTTTTCAGAAAGGAAAAAAAGAAGAAGAAGAAACGAAAAAACCACTAACCAAAATTATCCCATTATTTGTAGAATAAAATCGCTATGTTTTGTATGGGAATCTCTAATTCTTATTCTGACTTCAAGTCCTTTTATTTCGCGAATCGAATTTTGAGCATTATCTCTTTATACGAAGACCGACGTAACTGTAGTCAAGTTTAGAATAAGTAGGAGCCTGTAATTCTAGGAATTCTTTTTCATGCGGAAATATAAAAGTTTATTTAGAATTCGTATAAGCCAACGCCTGTATTTATTTTTATCGTTTCGGGCATTTTGAAATATGATGCTAACTGCGCGTTCATTCATTTCCGAAGTTTCATTGTTACCGTCGGTTAGTTACTTAGGACATTTTTATAGTAATTAATGTGTTGGAAAACAAGTTTTTTCTCTCTTTTCCTGAAGAAATGTTAAAAGGGCAGGCAACGAAGCCCTTTCTAAAGTACTTCAACAAATAAGTTGTATAGATTCGTTCGATATCTACCAGAGAGATAATATATTATTTTCTAATATTATATACACTCATTTTACAAAAGAGGTAAGTATATTATCTCAAATAAAGTACAGAAGAAATTACATTTACAAGAAATGTGTAAGATACTTAATCTACATAAAGCGTCTTTGTTGCTACATTAATGATTTAACTTCTTAAATGTATCAAGTCAAAACAGATTTTTTAATAGACAAGGTATAAAGTTACAATTATTTATACTGGAATTAAGCACTACTATTTCGAGTGTAATCAGCATATTTTACTCTATCTTAGGCTATTCTAAAGCAGATGGTTTTGTATAGATTTTAATATTACTATTCTAAGGCGAATGGTACCCCATTCTCAATAAGCTCTCAAAGATTGGAGACTACATCACGAATTGATCTAAACGATGAATTATTTAATCGCGTATGTATGTATATACGTGCGGTGGGTTGAGAAAACTGAACAAAAAATGCGTATTTTCAATAAGTCTCAAAGACGGCAAATAGGTTGACGTGCTCAAAACGCTAAATATATGTAATATAGAAAACTCGTTAACCGCACGAATCCGCATTAATGAATTAATCAGAAAATGCTGCCTTTCTGTCGATAATGGATCCTCTGCATTGTTTCGTTAGACTGTGATGTACTTTTACTAATAGCTCTGACAATACATTGTCTTTTCATACGGTGTTTGAGATTATTTTTTTTTACTCTCTTTAGTGTAAGAAGAGCTTGGAAAATCGCCATCTACACCGATTGGACTGTTGCTTGGGAGGAACTTACTTGAGGCACTTTCTTCGTAAGGCCAACGTTTTGCAGTCTATGTCATGGGGCCAGCCAAGAAGCTATTAAACTACCTAGAAGAAGTTGAGCTACAGGCAGTATCACTAGTGGTAAATTAACTGCTGGTCCTTGGATTGAGCCATGATATGCTCCTCGTAAAATCCATCCTCCGAGGCTTACAGATTTATGTGTACAAGTAAACATCGCTGCCAAGAGAATTCCTGTTGACAGCCAGCGAGAGCACAGCACCCAACATACACAACTTACTATTAGTTGTCCGATACAAGCTGAAACATGAAAATGTTAGTAAAGGAATCGTAGAGTTCAAGATTTTTTTAACATTCAATTTCAAAGCTAATGATCGATCATTTTCAATTAAATATTTTATATGAGTATTTACACTTTTCTAAATGTCTATATTAAAGCAGGATCTTAGTTGTTTATTTTTTAAATGCTTAAATGCAATTTGAGATATTCTTTTATGTATTCAACAAAGAGACTTTCGAGTCAGGTACATTGAATGGTTTGCCTTGTAATTTATAGAGAAATGCTATTATTAATATTAATAATCTCCATTGACATACCTATTAATACGCAAAGTAATATGTCTACTGCATGCAGAAATGATGCATCTGCTGAAAGTGCATCACAAAACCAATGGTATGCTGTAAGTAACAATAAGCCTCGAGGGATCCAACTTGTTCGGTCATCTAAGTCAGTGGAATAATCTTTAATAAAGCTCTGTAATCCAATGCCAATACCCAGTGGCATTAAAGTACTATAAACGGTCTCTTTAATGTCAGTGATCACAAGAGGTGGTGTCGATGCTCCTAGCTGTTTACAAGAAACTCATCGTCAACTGCTTATCTTCCAATTTTCCAAAATGAAGACGGCACCCATGAGTTACAATGTTTCATTTTTCTTCTTAATGTTTTTTTTTATAATTACTTACATATATTATCATTATAAAACTACTTTAAACATTCTAATGAAGTAGTTAAGGTGTGAAATAATAGTATCTCAATACATTATTATCTTCTTGTGAAAATTAAAATACTTTCAACTCCGAAACATTAGCTCATACGTGCCTTCTTAAGAAAGGATAAAAGAAGTAACTTTCCTAGCTAGCTTTTGAATTAATATACAAAATTTTACCATGAAGTAGAGTAGGACAGGGGATAATATTATCCCTTGAAAGTGCATCACTATCGTAGTTACCACACTGGTGGATAAATCTGCTCGTGCCACCCGAGTTAAAACCACACTTGTGCTGAATGGAGGTGGCATACAGTAGAATACCTAAAATTGGCGACGATCCATGACTCAGAATTTGAAGTCTTGTATACATTAGAAAGAACATAATTTCCATAAGCACTACTATTTGATTCCCACCGAGGGACATCTACATTTCACATGGTACTGGTGTAACTGAAAAATGTAGCTGCGCGTGTACAAAGTTACCATCTTGAATATCACACTGATTGAGTTAATTATAATAAGTAATGATTTACTGGTGGTAGATTACAACACATTGACACTACATGTTTCAATTAAACAAATTCAGTTTCAGATTGAAACCATTATTAAATGGAAATCAATTTTAAGTTAACCGAACTAATAGTGCCTAGTACTTATAAACCCATACTTCCATTCCTTTGAGAAGCCATGTATTAACTTTCGAATAAATCAGTAAACAACTTCCAACCCTTGCTAAGAGCGGCATCAATATGTATATAAAAACGGTAACAAATATCAGAAGGTGAATGTTGCACAATGCAGCATACAATGATTGTGGACTGCACCATAGTCCTGCTTCTAAATACGTCAGAGGTATAGCGAAATACCGTATCATTAAGTTTCCATTGATTATACCTACACATACAAGATAAATGTTATTATTAGTTTTAATAATTTACTTATAGTAAACTGATTTTAATATAATTTGCTTGATTTAAATCTTTTTCTAAGTAATATCGTTGCTAGAGAATAATATTGAAGTCTAAAGTAAAAAAATCTAATATAAAATGGGAATTGATATTTTCTAAACTAATACGTTGACATATAATGTACAATTTGAAAACATACCATGTGAGCCTCCAAGACTGGGTAGCATGGATGCTAACAACATACTTGTTAGAATTAATGCAAAGAAACCATAACGATGAAGAAGTTCGTTATTCTTCTTGTATCCAGAAAAGTTTTGTTGGTAGTTTACACGCATCTTTATTTATTGTCATTCCGTTTGTTGATTAAGATTAGTATACATATAGTGAAAATGTATATCTGAAACGAGTTAGATTTCGTTAACACCAATAAATTGTTTTCATGGCCAGTCATTTCAGATCTACAAATATATGAATTGAGATATATTTTTAATCAAAAGTAATACATTAATTAATGTCTTTAAGTCAATGCAAAATGTAAAACGACTGGCCATATTAAACATTTATAAAAATACTTGCCTTGTATATATGACTTCTATGACTATGAAAATGGTTGCAATAATCCCAGTCATGAAATTGAACATTCAAAAAGCGAAAGAATGTAAATGGAAATGTTGGTTGATACACAATGCAATTAAGGTAGTAATTAGGAACCTTTGCATTGATAATTTCCGTATAAAACTGACTGCTGCAGTATCGTAAATGCACTAATAGATCATGTCGTGGATAAATGCAAATTATATAGACATAAATCGCAGGTGCAAATTGTAAGATTGTCAAGTGATCAGGCAGCAAATAGCACTTGAACACTGTTCAGTTAAACTTACATTACATGCAAAGGAATAAATTCTCAGTTATTAGAACAGGAAAAACTTATCAAAATAAAAGTGATAGTTTATGATTTTTACCCCTTTTTCTTAATTTAGTTAATTTATATAAAAGTGTATTCGTAATTTATATAAAAATGTATTCACAATTAAAATAATGAAAAATCCAGAGATCGCCCCAGTGCTAATTATCTAGGTACGAGATTTCGAGGATCCCATTTTGGCATTTCTACTAAATGCAAGCTTTATTCCTAGTGATAAAGTAGGTCAATGAAAATATATAAGACTGGATTAATTTAAATGAATCTGATTTATTGCTATTTCAGACAAAATAAAATCTATGTAATCTACATTCATAAAACATAGAAAATAATGTATCAGCGAGAGTGCTTAGGCACGTAAACATAGTATTTGTGAAATTCAGATAAAACTATACTAGTGGCAATAGCAGGCAAATCTGTTAAAATTCTATAATACCGTAATTATCAAATGTATCACAAGATGAAATGCGATAAGAAATTGATAAACGGTGACAATGTGTCTCCAAATGTTACGCTTCTTTCCTACAGGCTTAGACTCCACAATTAAAAAATATTATTTACGAAGAACATTATTTCGAATATGACGTAACGAAAATGTACGAAAATCAAATATAGAACAATTTAATCAACCTACTGCAATACTCAGACTGTGTCTCCATCGTGCTCTAAACCTAGGATTTATCGAATCTAATCGTACATACAATTGGACGTACATTAGTAAATCTCCACCATTGGTATTTATTTAATACCAGATTGGATAAATTCGGGTTTGAGTGTGTCTCTACCACCTAGTAAGTTCGGTCCAACTCATCTCTGGTTCGGTATTACGTAAAATTAGGTGGTGGAGACGTACCCAAAGTCAGATTTATTCAATCCGGTATTGAATAAATACCGACCGTGGAGACATGGTCAATATTTTAATTCACCCGGTATTGCTATAGATATCACGTGGTTGATTTCGCCTAATCTATACAAATTAATTGTTTTTAGTTATACAGGTTACATATTTTGTATATATTTTTAAATATTATTTTCAACAAATAACTATGGGGAAGAAGGGATATAATTGGAAGGCACGAAATGTAGCTGAAGTTGAAATTGACAATTCTTCGTTAAAAAAGGTAAGATATCGAATGAAGTATTAATTATAATTAAAAAGATTGCATAGTTTATTTACAGTGAAAATCTTAATGAAGGATTTTATTCCTTTGCTTATAGGTAACCTTAGATTTCGCACATCGCCTTGAAAATTATGATGAATGCAATGCCTTAGTGCTTCCCAGTAAAAAACGAAAGACAAAAAATAAAGACAAGAAAGTAACTATAACTCGAATATTATCTAAAAAGAAAAGAAAACAATTAGAGAAAGTTATCAACAAGAAACAAAAGAAAGTCCAGGTATGTAATAACTTGTTACAATTTTTAATAAATTGTTTTGATATTTAAAATGTTTAATGTTTAGAGAGCTGAATTATTAGAAGAATTAGCAAAGGTACAAGTTTCTGAGAATGAATTAAAGCAGTATGTGTCTTTGGCTGCCCATCAAACTAAAGGACTGAAACGTCATTTTCTTGAATCGGAAACTAACAACATAATTTCAAAAGATGCAGATGACAAGGAAACCGAAGTCATTAATTCTATTAAAGGGTCAAAGAAAAGAAGAATAGCCCTACTTACAACAGATCATACGCAGAACACTGTATCTGATCCAAATGTATTAGGCTTGAACGTATGTATAATTGACATGCTCCATATATTTCCATAAGGTCGAAACAGTTATTTGATAATGATTATCTATCTTAGGAATCAAGTGATAGTGAAGAAGAATATAGCTCAAATGAAAGTATAGAAAATGAAGTATCTGAAAATAAAAATGAAAACAATGATGAAACAAAAGAAAAATTAGTTAACGAAGACACAAGTGTTAATATATCTCCTGAATCAAACATCACTCAGGTTCCAGAATCGCAAAAAATGGAAATACAGAATTTTCCAAAAAGATCTGTTTTAGTGGATGAAGAACGAAAACCTGCCGTATTCGTTACTGTTAATCGTGAACCAAAGATTCAAGAAGCTAGATTAAAGCTCCCTATTTTAGCTGAAGAGCAAATAATAATGGAAGCAATTAATGACAATTTAGTTGTGGTAATCACTGGAGAAACAGGAAGTGGTAAGATTAACATTTTTTACTGCATATGAGGTACTTACAAATATTTCAATTTGGTAAATGTATATTAAATAGATACACTCACTTTACAATGTATAATTTTATTAATCATAGGTAAAACCACTCAAGTGCCCCAATTTCTATATGAGGCAGGCTATGCAAAAGAAAAGCTTATTGGAGTAACTGAACCTAGAAGAGTAGCTGCAATGTCCATGAGTAAACGTGTCGCAGAAGAGATGAATCTCAGCTCAGAAGAGGTTTCCTACTTAATTCGCTTTGAAGGAAATGTTACACCAAATACTCGAATAAAATTTATGACGGATGGAGTCTTACTAAAAGAGATACAAACTGTAAGTGAATGCAAACACTGGTCCATGATGATTCGGTTCCACCGTTTTGGTTTCTTACATTAAATTGCAATTATAAATATTCATCTACAGATCTCTAGCACAACCCGATCTGAAAAATTCTGACGACGATTATAACAATATAATAATATAATTGTAATGTATATTTAACAGCGGAACTGAATCAGCTGGACCGAAACGGCGGAACCGAATTGTCCTGTCTCATGCAAACACCTAGCCATAAAAATTAAATTGAATGCATATACTGATTTTACTTATTTAAAAGAAAAATAGAAACATGAAAGGAATGATATATGCTCTTTCTAGGATTTCTTGTTGACAAAATATTCCGTTATTATATTAGATGAAGCGCACGAGCGTAGTGTTCACACTGATATACTGATTGGCTTGCTCTCGCGAATTGTGCCATTGCGAAATAAGAGGAAGGATCCTCTTAAGCTCATAATCATGTCAGCTACACTACGTGTCGAAGATTTCGTAGGAAATACCAAGTTATTTAAAGGTCTTTCCCCACCAGTGATTAATGTGGATTCGAGACAATTTCCTGTAACGATACATTTTAACAAAAGAACTAACGAAGATTATGTAACCGAGGCTTTGCGTAAAACTATTAAGATACATACCCGTCTTCCAGAAGGTGGAATTCTCATATTCTTAACAGGTAACATAGACTCTAATGAAATGGAGTGTATGTATTTAAATAATTGAAACGAACAATTTCAATGTTTTTATCTAATGTAGGTCAACAGGAAGTAAATACCGTAGTCAGAAAGCTACGTAAAGCATTCCCTTATAAGAAAAAAAAATGGACGTCCAAGAAGGATAATACTAATATGTTAAAAGAAAATGTTAAAGATGGAAATGACGATAATGAATCAAACTGTTCCGAAGAAGACCATAACTTAGAAAAGGTTATGCGTCGTTTGAAACAAAATAAAAGTAAACGAAATTCAGAATTACCGAACATCAGTCTTGATCAGTGAGTAGAGATAATTACCACAGAGCACACTTATTCCAAATTTATTTCTTAACATTAGATATTTTTCATTGATTCTGCAGATATAGTGCTGTACCTACAGATGACACACAGGGTGATCTACTTGATGATTTAGAGCTAAATGATAATGATGATGAAAATGGTTTCGATGACGACGAAGATGAAGATGAATGTGCTCTTTATCTTGACGGAACATCAAATGCACAACCACTTTGGGTTTTACCACTCTATTCTCTATTGCCAAGTTACAAGCAAGCTAAAGTATGTTATTATGTATGTGATGCTAGTTTAAAAGTACAGATGATACATTTTTATATTTGTATTCAATTGTGAAATAGGTATTTGAAGAACCTCCGGAAGGCTGTAGATTATGCGTTGTGTCCACTAATGTGGCAGAAACTTCTTTAACAATTCCAAATGTGAAATACGTAGTAGATAGTGGTCGATGCAAAACACGAATCTATGATAAAGTGACCGGAGTAAGCACGTTCCATGTATGTTATACCAGTAAAGCAGCTGCGGATCAGCGCAGTGGTCGAGCTGGCAGAACAAGTCCAGGACACTGTTACAGGTACTGTAAAAAACGATCTATTCCTCTTTTTTCTCTTTTTAATAAAATTTCAATGATTATCATTCCAGGCTTTATTCCTCAGCTGTATTTAACGATCAATTTGAGCAGTTCAGCGAGCCAGAGATCCGACGAAAACCCGTGGATGATCTCCTATTACAAATGAAAGTTATGAATATCGATAAAGTCGTTAACTTTCCATTTCCTACATCTCCGGATATTACACAGTTGATGTCTGCTGAAAACAGACTTCGTGTTTTAGGAGCCCTGGAAGAAGTGCCTTCAATGAAGCAAGGTGATTATTTGGTCTTCGGAATCATTTCTTCCTATAAATAACCTTTAATTGAATTTTTCTCACATGCAGATAAATTCTCTGCAAAAGTGACACCACTTGGACGAAGCATAGCTGCATTTCCAGTAGCTCCACGCTATGGGAAAATGTTAGCATTGTCTCATCAGCATGACTTATTACAATACACTGTTTGCTTGGTAGCTGCACTCTCAGTTCAGGAGCTGCTCATCGAAGGACCATCTGAACAATCGGAAGGCAATCTGAAGAACAAGTGGCTTCAGATTCGTCGTAAATGGGCTGGTACTGGAAACAGTCTTTTGCTGGGTACGTAAAATAAAATTGCATACTATTGTGTCGCATAAGATTCCTTTGGTTAATAATTCATATTTTTTCAAGGTGATCCAATGGTTCTTCTTCGAGCCGTTGGAGCTGCGGAACATGCAAGTGTGCATGGAAAGCTCACTACTTTTTGTGAACAAAACGGTTTGCGACATAAGGCTATCGTCGAAGTTAGAAAGCTCAGGCAGCAGCTTACTAACGAGATCATGATCAATATATCAGACTTGAATCTCATCGTTGATTCCGAGTACGTATTTATATAGTTTTGACATCGAACAATTATAGTATTCTGTTACTTTTTCCAGAATGTCTCCTCCAACTGAAGTACAAGCCAAATTGCTTCAGCAAATTGTACTGGCTGGTATGGCAGATCAGGTAGCTCGAAAGGTATCTCCAGATGAATGTAAGGACGAAAAAGAGAGAAGAAAGTGTAAATATGCTTACAAGTAAGAAAGATTCGACACCTTGTGGAAATGATCAAAAGTGCCTATTTGGTTTATATTTTTTTTCCTTCACTTTAGGACGTTAGAAATGGAAGAACCCGTATTCATGCACTCATCTTCTGTCTTGCGGAAGACAAACCCTGAATGGGTTGTCTATCAGGAATTGTTCGAAACTAATAAAGTGTACATGCGTGGAATAACTGCGATACAACCCGAATGGTTGCCCAAGTTTGTTCCCTCACTGTGCCAACTGAAAAAATCCACTTTGGAATCAGTATTAAGGTTTGTTTATGACATTTATAATCTGCAGTTTTCTTAGTACATAATCTATTTCATGATAATAATTTTGTTTTATCCAATTCTAATGTCATTTACATCGGATCATAATTCCAGGAAAAAGGATGATTTCGTATCTGGAACATTTGGACGAACAGGATGGGAGCTTCCACTAATGAAATTAGAAAATGTTTGTACAGAAAATATAACTAGATGAAATTATGTATAGTAAAAGTTAGTTCTTTTGTTTTATCTATTTTAAAAAGAGAGAACATTTACACATTTAATTTATTTGTATATACTTTTGAACACATTTTTTCTTTTTCTATTTGTACAAAATCATCTTTGGTACAGTCCTCTCCATTATGTATAATCAAAAGACGTTAGTTCAGTAAATCAACATTGTAGAATTTTACCACCTTAAAGGCAGAAAAAGTCATGAACATATATTATCACTGTGTGACAGCGAGTAACAAATTAAATACATTTTGACTATTACGAACGACTTTGGTAATGTTTACTAACAATTAAAGAAAAAACATACTATACGAGATTCAACTAAAGGTTATTGAAAATAAGCATACAGATATTCATTGATCTTTTCAACTTATCACTTTAGTAATAACAAACTGGACTTTTTCTTGAAGATTAATAATTACTACTCAAATGTGTACAACCCAAAACTATTGATAATTAGCTATTATTATGAAAAATGGTTCCACATTTTGGTTTTATTGCTCTTAGTCTATAATGCAAATGCGTATATTGCAAGCATAAAGTACAAGACACAAACTTCAATGCAATGTTCTTTGACAAAAACTTAAAATGAAATATGATATTCATAACGTCGAATAGCTAGCACACAATGTTGCGATTTAAACATGAATGTTTGGAAAAAAATCTTTGATACTTACAATCAATGCATGAGCGACAAAAAATATATTCTTATAAATATGTGATCATATCTTGTCATTGATATCATTATTGATAAATTTTTTTAGAGTATTCCATTGATAAATAATTGTAAAATAAAATAAAATCTACAACCGGATAGCAATAAGCGCATGTTTGAAAAATTCAAATTCTGAATGAGAACACCATGGCACTGTGCGCCGCATTGTATCGAACTCGGCTTTGTATATTCTAACAATCCCTATAATTTGTGGAATAATGGCGACGCATTTCAGGTCAGTAGTACTACTAACCTAAAAGTCTGTGCGCATAAAGATGCAAGCTTGGATAATTAACTCATTCGGCTTTTAATGATCGTTTATCTTTTTTCTTGACGGGATTGTTTTTGCAATCCTTGAACACATTGTTGAGATCAAAAGCTGCCTTTACATTATCCTATAATATAATATTTTTGCTCATTAGATGAAATTTAAGATGTATGCAAACATATCAGGTATACGTACAGTCGAAAAGAGGAATTTTACTAGCTTTCCCTTATGATCGGAATGAGGTCGTCTTTCAACTTCTTTGCCATTTTTGAATAAAATTAGAGTTGGAAGTTGTCTACTTGTACTGGAGTCATTAATGCGATATTTGGCAGCTGCATCTGGATATCTACCAATATCAACTTTGCCAAATTTAAAGTTTTCTAAAGCAAATCTAAAAAACCAATGTAGTAATTATTCATACAATCATCAAATCGTATGAAATAAATATTCATTAAATAAATCAAAGTACATACTCAGCTGATAACTGTGAAAATATTGGAGCAAAATTTACACAGGCTGGATTCCAGGCGGTATAGAATGCTACTAGCCATGTAATTCTAGAGTCACGTAATTCTTCCTGTAGACCAGTCGCTCCTCTTAAATAGATTATATTTTCTGGACCTTTATAAGTTGGTTCTGGTAATATTAAACCACATACTATAAGGGTAGAAAAGTGAGCATAAATTTAAAATGCATTTCTACTTTCATATATAAATTATACTGCAATGTTAAGCAATTCAGTACATACAGATAAATAATACTGCGAAGAGGATACCCATACGAAAGTCAGCATAAAACCATAAAATTAAGTTGGCGGCTTTTGTATATACAAAACTGGACGTCAGATAATTTATCATTGTCACACTTCCTGCTTTCCGTGTCCTGATCATTATAACTATTATTAAGAAGAATAAGATTTCCGTCTCTCTCTGCAATAAGAAAAATAGAACTAACATTTACATGTTTTATTGGTGCATGGCTGTTTCATCGTTTGATCTATACCCACCCCATCAAGCTCACACTCCATTTGCCCGAACACATAATGGCATATAAATGGTATTCGTTTTGACACGATGTAAGACAAGCTTATAAGAATGTTTATAAAGTAATATGGTTTTAGCAGTAACCGCAGATCGCTTTTGAGCGTCATTTTGGAGCGGTGTGAAATAATTGACGAACCGAATAATATGAAAGGAAACGTCGTTAATGTAAGTATTTTAGGCAGTAAAAGGAAGCAAACTGCCGTTTACTTCTGCCAATTATTTCTAAATTCTTCATGAAGAATTCTAGACGATTGGCTACTTAAAGGGACGAATGAAACTCACACAAATTTACACTTGCGTTAAATTCAGACATCCTTGGACCAATTCATCCCTGTTCCAATGAGTTTAAACATTTGGAGATCGCCATTCCTTGCTTAAAAAGTGAAGCTTTTGGAATAAGTTCCACTAAACGGCGTTGCTCTCCATATAAATTTAAAAATGTTGCACAGAGATGGGTCATGAAGATTGTTCATGGGGAGGTCGCCCGATCGTTTCTCTGCTGCTCCCTGGTGGAGGATGTGGACGGCTAATGCACTTGCCATTTCACACTCCCCAATGGCGATCCAATTCAGGGATCCTCTATGGAGACTTCTGTATTCTTTGTTTCTGGTTAAGATTGATTTGGATTTTCATATTTATCTTACCGAGGAGATCTTTATAAATATATTAGAGGAAAAACACATAATGGTAAGACAAATTTAGCTTTTTAACTATTAATTCCCTACTCATATGAATTTCTAATTACCGTACATTGTTGTAAAATTCCGAAATGGTAGGATTGAAGTTATGCATATGCTAGTATTTAGTTAAATGATTTATACCGCAGACAGAATAATATTTTTCTGACTTATAGGGTAAAACTAAGAAGACAAGAAAAATTGTTATGCAGAGGTTTGCACAAATGAAGAAAATGATCAGTCCAAGTGACCCAAGAATGTAAGGATTCTGAAAGAATGTTTGCACGCAGGTGCAAAATAAATAATCTCTCCGCTACATAAAATCAGGATGGAATTTATAGAAATACTCTTATTTTCATTTTACAGAAAACCGAAACTGCGAGCTCCCCCAAGGAAGAAAAAACCAGAAGATCCTACTGAGTTAAAAGTTAAAGAAGTGTAAGTAATCTTGTATTTTATAATTTGCATTAAATCACTTTAATTATTGGCTGTTTGATATGTTGACAGGCCGCAGCAATCATCGGCGTTATTCTTTCAATATAATACACAGCTTGGTCCACCCTACCATATTTTGGTTGATACAAATTTCGTAAATTTTTCCATAAAGAACAAGTTAGACATTATACAGAATATGATGGATTGTTTGTACGCAAAATGCATTCCATATATTACAGACTGTGTAATGGGGGAATTGGAGAAACTTGGTCAGAAATACAAGATTGCATTAAAAATTATAAAAGATCCACGATTTGAAAGATTGAACTGTATGCACAAGGGTACATATGCCGACGATTGCATCGTCAATCGTGTAACTCAAGTAAGTTGGATCCATATAATTTAAGCGATAGTTTACATTAAATGCAATACAGTATATATTATTTTATTCAAAACTTTCTTTTAGCATAAATGTTATATCGTTGCAACCAATGACAAAGACTTGAAGAGGAGGATTAGGAAAATTCCAGGTGTACCGATAATGTACGTGTCTCAACATCGTTATACCATCGAAAGAATGCCAGATGCGTATGGTGCCCCAAAAACGTAAACAAATGTTACATAGTTTTTTAGAAAATATTTTTTAATAAAACCGCTGTCTGATAATAGGGTACTGAAACGAATTATCCGTCTCCACAACGTAGGCATGAAATATTAACTTGATTAGAATTACTGTGTCGGTAAGTTCTCATTTATCATCCGAAAAAATGAGTTGTATTCCACTAGACTCCCGAAAGAGTGCGCTGAGGTGTGTTTATCGTGTAGATGGTATCCCCAAAAACAATATTAAAAAAAGTCTGACCGGCCCAACAGTGGGTTACGGTACGTTTTTTGGACAATATTGATATTCCATAATTAATCCAAGTAAATCTAGAAAAAGGATTGAAACCGATCTAGAGAACATTGAAATTTCCCTTAAAAAAACCAGGACCATTTCGGTCTCGCGATGCATTATTACCAAGTATAGTTTACGAAGCCAATAAATCAATTTGGGAATGTGATCGTGCACATCGGCGGAACACAGAGATCGACGTCTATCTATTATTGCGGCTCGAGGCCCAGGAACGAAAGGCGATGTGTTGCAAGTATGCGCTTATGGTGATTATCCCGTGATTGCACCACCATCACTGCGATGATGGTTTATTAGATTCCATTGATTCCGGCTCGAAGATCTCGTGTGGTAAGAAAATCGGTTTTCATCTAAAGAACCTCCTCCCCTTAATACCAATATACAATTTTCATAAAACTTTGTCTCCCGATATAGAGAATACCCATAAGAAAGCCGATCTGGGTCCAGTCCGCAGATAAAAGGACTCCTCTTCTTGCGCCCCATCCGCTGGTCCATATTCCATCCGAAAGCCCCATCAATTTTGGCTCTCCTTTACGGCCTGGAGCAAGAGGTTCAAATATCCCATCGGCGTCGTAAACGCGCCTCGCCGTCTGTACGCTGGAAAATAGATCACCCCGAAGATCGTAATAAAGCGTCCATCCATCTCGAGAAGTGCTCCTTAAGGTGTCGTCGGCAGGAGCGCGTCTCCTCGGCGGGTTCTTGATCACGCCGAGTCAATACGGTGTGTATCAAAATGACAGCATGGACACCGCGACCGAATGATAAGGAGATAAGAAGGCGCAGCTGCATGGTGCAAGAAGGCTGCTAGAAGCTGCACGGCCCTAGAGGCCTCGACCATTTTAGCTATAACCGTAGGATCATATAGACGAGTCACGGGCATGACGCATGAAAGCGGCGCATTATCTCGTGACCTGGGGCGACATCGGGCTTCCAACAGCCGACGGTAAAACATGCTCGATACCCATTCTACCTCTGATCATCGCTTATGTTGCCAGACAGGGACAGGATGATACGAATTCCCTGGGTCCGAGGTCCGACTCCCTTCGGACCGTCCGACCGTCTAGGAGGTCCAACAATGAACCTCTGTCCACCTACCGGTCCGTTCGCTGATCCTCGACGAATACAACGGAGCACCTACCCATATACCCGGGACTTACATTGCCACGAGAAGAAGAAATCCGGAGATCGAATAACGAGATTGCCGAGTAACAACGTTCGCATCGGACACGTAATCGATGAGTTGGATTCTGCAGGCTTTCGTCCAAATTCTCACGGCCAGCTCCTGAATTTTGATGTATTGAGGAAGTGTACCGTTTTTACACGTTGCCGTTGGTGCAGATGGAGAACCTTGCATCGAGACGCTCACGGTGGGTTCTTTCCATGGTTATTTCGCGATGCCTTTTGGTACTCTACCCGGCAGTCACGGTGATTGCAGGCATTTGTCCGATGGTTGACGCATTCGTAAATACAAGTACCTAGATTCATTAATCTTGCCCATTTTATTGTCAGCCGCATTTCGAGCTGGCATGGAAAGTAATGGTCAAAAGCTGCCTAAGGCTCTCTCGGGTGCACCCGCGGTGCCGTTCGAGAGGGGGCATCGGGGAAACCTGGTACACCATGGTACACCCACGTATAGGCATGCCGACTTTCGTAAACCTACCCGGGTTCTGGCTGCTGCAAAAAGTACTCACCGTGTACGCCATTAATCATTTGCAAAAGTTTTCGTATACTCGATGGAAATGTGGATTAAAGCCGGAGTAGTTGCTGCAAGGTTACACACGTTTACTCGAAACGAACGGTCCCAAGGGAGAGAGAATTCTCTGTCTCGTCGTAAATCTAGATCGGTAATTAAATTATCTTTCAATTTTTTTTCAGATCCTGAAACGGATTTCGTGCTACACTTCTACTTCGACTTTCTTCGGTCACTCCAGAAGGCTGGAATTCGGACTTCACATCACCCTAACCCATTGTAGCTCGCAGCATTATCTTCGGACAATGTTGCCGGAGTCGGCCTCGGCAATTCATTCCTGGTAATACCTTCGAATTCACGACTCAAGAACACATTCCAGCAGAACGGGAGAAATTTCGTGCTCCTAATTCCACGATTTAGTCGAAATTGCGCGGTGCGTGCACGAGGCATTCGGCTCGCCTGCCAACGCGACTCGACTCCTTCACCACGTCCAAGGTATCTCTCAAACCCCTTCGAATTAATCGCATATCTATACATTTCCGAATGCAAAATCAACCTGTAACAACAGTGATCGTGGCGATTTATGCCAGAGTTTTTTATTCCTTTCCAGATACAATGGGCAACGAATCCCAGGTCACCCTCTTTCAAGGGGAGTGCTCACTCCTTCGCGTTGTCGCCGAGAAGTGATCGCTCCAGAAATTGAAGATACGACCAATTGGAGCTAGATTCATCGCAGTCAAGTCAGGGAGAGTTTCGCAAGAGTTGAGTCCACCTAGTTCGAGTAGTCGCCAATAGGTAACACCTTGAATCTAGTAAACAAACGCACATGAGACGACATTGCGAAAAATCAGTACCCTTCCTGAGAATACAGAATGGACCCCCTGAAGTCGAAGGTGCGACCGATGGAAGCCGGATTCATCGCAGCCAAGTCAGGGAAAATTTCTCAAGAGTCGTGCCCACCAGGGGTCGTCCCCAATTGGCCGGAGGAACTGCAGCGCGCGAAGTCGGGGAGATCCTCGTCGGATCACGTCGGATCACTCGGGACTGGTTTCTTCCATTTGGGACCGACTTTATATATCTATAGGGCATATCCAATCGGAGAGAATGGCCGCGGCGCTTGGACGGGCCCCGGATGAAATAGGGTCTAGGATCGGCGGCGGAACAGATGTAGAATGGGGGCCGGCTCTTGATTCTCGGAAGCACAAAAGGCCGCTGATTGGGTGCGCGCGCGGTGTGGCGGTTTCGCCGATCGACGCGGAGGCCGCGCGCCTCCTCGTCCTCGCGAAACACCTCTTCCCCGTTCCTCTACCTCTTCGTTTTCGCCTTTGTATTTAAGTAATCTGCCCGGCAGAGCGCGCCCGATACCATCGGGTCCAGGGAGACGCTATTTATAACCGCGGCATTCGGGGCCGTTCCGCGGGGGCCCCTTGCCCGGATAAAGGCCGATTCGAACACGTCCGTCCCGTATCAGCGCCGTATCCGTGCACATCCGTACAAGATCTTCGTACGTCTCCGGGATCTTCGTGATGTAGCGATCACAGGTCCGGTACGTCTCCAAACATCGAAACCCTCGAGGAGAATAATTCAATCCTTTGATATCCTACCGCTTGCCACTCGTTCGGTGAAAACATCAATCCCGGAAACCGTATTCTGTATTTCATGCGATCAACTTTTTCATGGGAAATTAACAATTTCATACATGACTTTCAAACGTTTAAACAATGACGTGACTTTGCACCAATGCGAAATGTTTCATGCGAATCTGTATGCGAGGAAAATTCGATTTTTGTATGGATTCTTTTTCGCATAGGAATAGATTCGCATGAAAAATTTCGAGGTAACGTCGTTGGTCACTGTTCGATTCTCCTCTGGCGCTTATCAACGCCCCCCTGAAGAACAGAAAACTTGTGTAAAAATCTCTAGGCCCGTTTCGGAACATCGGGTGATTCCTCCGCGACGAAGCATGCATCTTCCATGAAGGAAGCAACGGGAGGATCGAAACCCTTTCCGTTGGGTGGCACGCGCGAGCAGTCGGCTACCGAATCGGCGAAACGAGAGACGCGCCGCTCGGCCGAGAGAGGGAGATCGAACGCTGCTCCAAAAAGAACCCGATCGGAACCGAAGCATCGTAACACGCGCCGATGCTTTATTCAGCCTTGAAAACGCCCCGGCGCCTCTTAGACGAAGCCCTCGATCGTATTTCCCGCGTTCGGTGGAACCGCCGATCCGTGTATTCGTCCTCGAAGACGTCCCACGCGAGGTATTAAATCGACTTCCGATCGATCGTGTGCATCTCGACGTGACCACGTGCAGATTAGTCATCCCATATAAGCAGGGAGTAGCTAGGAACGAGAGGGAACCCACGTGGTGGCTATTTTCCGTCTGAAAGCATCACCGATCCCCATCTCCTCACCCGGGGGAAGAAAAATAGTCGCACCAACGTGCTCGTCGTTTCCCCTCGAATTCCCGGCAGGTCGCGGCGGTCGGCTGGAGTCCCGCCCCCGCGCCCTACCTCCGTCTAATTAGCCCCGTTATATAATTCCCGTACAACGAACCGATGCCAGGGATCGCCTCTTCCAACGGAATTCCGTATAGTGGAGGCACCCACCCCCAAGGTCCGTGTCGACCCGTCACGTCGCTCGCGCTAGGACGGAGTCTCTACATTCCGGGACTTTCTCCATCCCGACTGCGATCCCGTCCGATGGGATCTCCTCTCGGAGGAAGAGCCCGAAATCCCGATTCCGGGAAATCCCTCCGATCCTTCGACCGACTGGCCGACATTCCCCAACCGGCCGAACAATCCTACACGGAATAAAAAAAAAAAAAGAAGACATGCATTTTTGGCAATGTTGCAAATAACATATATATAAATATCTACAACAATTACGCATATGTATTTGAAAGAGTTACGGACAAATATACGTTACCCTTACATCTACGATTCGCTAAAATTGCAAAGATTTTTATCACCGGTGCGATAATTCCTGCAGGAAGGGCAAGCCGTAATCAGAAACGCCGTCCTTAGCTAAAAGTGCGAATACGTTTTTAGTCCGTTCCCGCGAAACGTCTATCCGGGAATGTCCGGATCGGCGGAGAGTCGATCGGCTAAACTAGATCAAGCGAGGGAGAAAGAGAGGGGGGAGAAGGTGGTTCAACCGTGGTAACGGATTAGTTACGAGAGGCAGCAAAGAGCACGGATGCAGCGTCGAGGCTGGACCGCGTCTCAGCTCTCCGGCGAGAGAGAGGGCAGTAGATTCGAAGAGGGACGGAGAAAGCCCTAGAGAGCAAGATGGAGGAGCCCCCTCCCGGTCGCAAGGCCCATTCCTCCCTTCCCGATATCTCCCTCTTCCCCCACGCATTATTCATCTCTTGTTCCCCGTGAGGGCCTCTCTCTCCGTCCGCTTGGGCTCTCCCTCTTTCGCTCGAGCCCAGGATCCGTCTCTCTCCGTGGGCCACCCTTTCTCTCTGTTCCTCAGCGGGGCCCGGAGCTCGGCGGCGGCCATCTTGCATACCTGAGCCTCCGCATTGCTCGTTCCTCGAGGGCAAAAGGTAGAATATCTCGGTAAGTCGGCGGCGGGCTGGGTGAGGCAGGAGGGGTCGGCGGGGCACGGCGGGCCGGTCGGGGGCCTCGGAGGGGGGCCGGGCCCTCTCCGAGGGAGCGAGAGAGCGAGAGAGAGAGGCCCGGGGCCCGATGGATCGGAGAGGGACGGCGTCGGGCCCGGAGGAATGTTCTTTCCGGCGGCAGCCGGCTTCAGTCGAGTCGGGTCAGTCCTCGGGAAAGGTGATTTTCGTCGGGGACCACCGCGCGTCGGGCCCACGTTGTGCGCGCGCCCTGTAGGAGCCGCGAGGAGGTCCCAGGGAGATGTCGCGCCGCGCCCACCCGGTCTGAACGCCGAGATAGGGCCCGGTCCGAAGGGCTCCGCGAGGGCCCCTCTCGCCGCTCCCTCCGATCCCCGATCGGACCGGAAGTCGCGACTGGACACTCGCCCCCCGTAAAGGGACCCTCCTAGGTCCGAATAGCGAGTTTCTCCACCTTTCAGCGACCGCAATCGGCAATGACCTGAATTTCCCCAGGTCCCCCTGGACCCGATAAAGCCTGGAACACGGAAGTGGCGTCGGTGGACCATGTCGTCTCTGGGTTTAGGAGATGCGTGGTCCTAGATCGGGGCCATTGGACCGGAAAGGTTCGCAGTGGTCCTAGGGACGAGTTGGATCGAGTGCTAGGGAGTTGTCTAGTGACGTTTGCGTGGATTGAGTCTTGGTGAAGGTGGAGGAGGTCGAGATTGAAGGAAGAAGAGAGTAGGTTACGGGTGCAGGGCAAGAAGGTGGACCTGCAACCTGTCGGTAGAAGGGAGGGGTCGTTCCGGGGCCTCGATAGGTGGTGACCCGGGGGAAAGGGCCCCGGAAGAGGCTCGCTTGGAAATCGGGCGAACGGGCGCCTCGACGCTCTCGAAAATGGATCCTCTCGAGGGAGGGAGATAATATCGAAGAGAGGCGTCCCGCGAGGCGCGGCTCTGCCGGTCAGTGCCCTCTTTACCGAAGGAATTCGCCTCCCGTGTTTACTCGGAGGACGCGTCGGGGCGTCGGAGAGCCACGAGGTGGCCGTCGGCGTCGGTCCCTCCGATTTCGTAGAGCCAGGAGGCGAGGAGAGGTCTCGACCGAAAATGCGGTCCACCGTCGAGCGTCGGAGGTCTTTGTCCGGGATCTGATTTGCACCGGATCACTCGAGCCGGCCTCGGTGGCAAGATGGCACCGACGTGACGCGCCGAGGACGTCGCAAGTGGAAGAGATGAGAGATCGGGCGACGATGACGAAGAGAAGCGACCGGTAGAGGTCAATCGGGATCCAGCTAGGAGCGTGGGAAAAGCGGACGAGAAGCCGAAGAGGGAGGCCGGAGGTGTTCGGGCCTCGAAGAGATGCCGATCAACGGACTGACGGTACTGACCCTGGTCCTGGGACTCCTGTCGAGGGACCAATATGTCGAGGGGGCAAGATTGGATGCCGCGAGCTACGGAACCGCCGACCGGGTCTCCCAGAACCTGCCGCAGAAGGTGGCGAGGCTGGTGCCGAGGAGGTCGCCGATGCTACCGCAAGACGGGACCGGAATGGGTCTGGCGATGCAGAGCAGAGCCGTGGACACGAGGGTACCCCTGGAGGTGAAAGAGGGAGAGCCCAAGGGGACTCTGGTAGGATCCATCCCGGTCAAGTTCGGCTTTACGTACAGGTTCAACGAGCCCCCTCAGGAGTTCACCTTGGACCCGGAGACCGGAGAGATCAGGACCGCCAAGGTGCTGGACAGAGAGGCGCTGACCAGCGACCGATACGACCTGGTTATCCTGTCCAGTCAGCCGACCTACCCGATAGAGGTGCGGATCCTGGTGTTGGACATAAACGACAACGACCCCGAGTTCCCGGAGGCTAGCATCGCCGTGAGTTTCTCGGAGTCCGCCGCAGCCGGGACCAGACTCCTCCTGGACGCTGCGACCGACAAGGATACCCCGGAGAACGGCGTGGTCGACGACTACTTCATCGTCGAGGGGAACACGGACGGGAAGTTCCGGCTGGTGGTGACCGGCAACCCCACAGGGGAGACCTCCTACCTGCACCTGGAGACCACCGGGAAGCTGGACCGCGAACAGGTGGAGTTCTACTCCCTGAACGTCTGCGCCAGGGACAGAGGACGCCCCCCGAGGTTGGGGTACCTGCGGGTCAACGTCACCGTCCTGGATGTGAACGACAACCCGCCGGTGTTCCAGCAGAGCGATTACGTGGTGGCGTTGAACGAGAGCGCCCCGGCTGGCACGAGGGTCCTGACGGTCCACGCAACGGACAAGGACCTGGAGGACAACTCGAAGCTGACGTACTACCTGCCGGACACGGAGAGGCAGTTCACGATCGACCCTGAGACCGGGACCGTGGTAACGGCGGAGCCATTGGACTGTCCCCAGCAGACGTGCACGATCGCCCGACCTGGTGGTAGCTGCCCGAAAAGCTGCGTGATAACGGTCTTCGCCCGGGACCACGGATCTCCCAGGCAGGACGGGCGAACCTATGTAACGGTAAACCTGTTGGACGCCAACGACCACGATCCCGAGATCAAGTTCAGCTATTTCCCGGCAACCACGGGATTCGCGACCGTCGACGAGAACGCGGTCAACGACTCCATCGTGGCGGCGGTCGCGGTAATCGACAACGACGAGGGCCTCAACGGGGAGACCAGCGTCGAGATCAGGGCTGGGAACGAGCTGGGCCACTTCCGACTGGACAACACCCAGAGCTTCGACATCGTTCGCGTAAACGGACGCCTGGATCGGGAGGAGATACCCAAGTACAATCTCACCGTGGTGGCTACCGACCGGGGAACGCCGCCGAGGTCGGCCACCGCGTATCTGGTCATCCACGTGAACGACGTCAACGACCACGAACCGGTATTCCAGCAGAGCGAGTATTCGGCGGTCCTCTCGGAGCTATCCCCGGCGGGTAGCTTCGTGGCAAGCATCTCGGCGACCGACGCCGATTCCGGGCTCAATGCCAGGATATACTACGACTTCGACGCCGGCAACGAGCAGGGCTGGTTCGCGATAGACCAGGACACGGGGCTGGTTACTACAAAGGCCACCCTGGACAGAGAGATCCAGGGGAGCGTCGAACTACGCGTCTCCGCCAGGGATGGAGGCCCTAATCCTAAGTATGCCTCCACCCATCTCAGGGTCACCGTCTTGGATGAGAACGACGAGGCTCCTAGGTTCTCCCAACGGATCGTGGAGGTAACCCTCTCGGAGAATACTCCACCACCGAGCTTGGTGGCCACCCTGACCGCAGTGGATAACGACCAGGGCACCAACGGAAGCGTGGCCTACAGCTTGCATCCCAGTGTGTCGCAGAACTACCCGAAGACGTTTGCTCTGGATGCGTTGACCGGTCATCTGACGACGATGATAAACTTGGATAGGGAGACGGTGGCCGAGTACAGGATCCTGGTGGTGGCCAGGGATCAAGGGACCCCGCCACAGTCGTCCACCGCCACCGTCATCCTCCATCTGGAGGACGTCAACGACAACGCCCCGGTTTTCTATCCGAGGAGGTATCTGTTCCCCGTAGCCGAGGACGCCTCGCCAGGAACGACCGTAGGCAGGGTCACGGCGACCGATATCGACGCCAGGGAAAACGCCCAGATCAGGTACACCATCGAATCCGGCAGTGATGGGCTCTTCGTCGTGGACGATCGCACCGGGGAGATCATCCTGCAAGGTTTCCTGAGGTCCGCACACAAGACTCTGTACGAGCTGACGATTTCGGCCAGGGATACCGGGGACAAGAGGGCGACTAAGGACGCCTTTGTGGAGATCCTGAGGAAGGAAGACCTGGAGGAGGTGAAATTCGAAACGTACAGTGGGTACGAGTTCCGCATCACCGAGGACCGTGGGGAATGTGGCGAAGCGATGTCTGGAGTGGGTCGGGAAGTGGGATCCGTCAGGGTCACGCGTTATGGGAACGCGAAGATGAGCTACTCCATAGTCTATGGGGATCCTAAAGGGAACTTCAAAATAGACGAGAGCTCGGGGGTGATCAGTACCGCGGGATGTCTGGATAGGGAACTGGTGGCCTATTATAGTTTGAAGGTGGCTGCACGTGCTGGCCTGGCTCATGGCCAGACCTCGGTGAATATCACCGTCCTGGACATCAACGACAACCCTCCCAAGTTCCCAAAAGGCGAGAGAGGCGACGAGGTCCTGCTGAAGGAGAACGCTGCAGTTGGGCAGGAGGTGTGTCTGGCGAGAGCCAGGGACAGAGATGCTGGAGCGAACGCAAGGATAACATACTCCCTCAACCACAATCCTGGAGGGCAGTTCCGGGTGGCGCCGAACTCGGGGATCATCTATCTGGACAAACCCTTGCGAGCGCCCCCAGGAACGGTCCTGCACCTAGAAGTCACAGCTACAGATTCCGGGAACCAACCGCTCTCAGCCCAACATCAAGTCAGAGTGACAGTGGAAGACGTGAACGATCACACCCCGGTGTTCGAGTTGACCAGCTACGAGACATCCTTGCCGGAATCGACGCCGGTGAACGACAGATTTTTCGCGCTGGTCGCCTCCGATGCGGACACCGGGGTGAACGGCAGGATCCTCTACACTGTCTCCGAAGGAAATTCCGAAGGCCGCTTTGGGATCTTCCCGGATGGCCAGCTCTTCGTCAAGAGTCCTCTCGACAGAGAGGAACGGGACTACTACGCCTTGGAGGTGACGGCGAGGGATCAGGGCGACCCCAGCAGGAGTTCCGTGGTCCCTGTGGTCGTCCACGTAATCGACGAGAACGACAACGCCCCACAGTTCACCAACTCCAGTTTCACCTTCCACGTGCGCGAGAACGAGCCTCCGGACACCTTTGTGGGGAAACTGCTGGCCACCGACAGGGACGTTGGACGTAACGCCGAGCTGACGTTTTCCCTCTCGTCCACTCAGCAGGACTTCGCGGTGGATCCCAGGAACGGCTTCATCAAGTCCCTCCACGTTTTCGACAGGGAACAGCTCGTTGCCAACACCGGCAGCAGCTTCGTAACCCTGGAGGCCACTGTCACCGACAACGGAGTGAACCGCCTGCGGGATAAGGTGAAGGTGACCATCTACGTCACCGACGTTAACGACAACACGCCGCAGTTCCAGAGGGTACCATACAGGGTCCAAGTCAGCGAAGGCGCCGCGATAGGAACCCAGCTCTTGAGAGTCTACACAACCGACGCCGACGAGGGTCTCAATGGCGACGTCTTCTACTCCCTGGAAGTCGGGAATCAGTACGGTCGATTCGTCATAGACGAAGCTACCGGGCAGATATCGTTAGCCAGGGAACTGGACAGGGAAACCACCGACAACTACGCCTTGACGGTGGTGGCCCACGATGCCGGACTAGAGGTGCGTCTCATGTCCAGGGCCATTGTGGCCGTTGAGGTGCTCGACGAAAACGACAACGTCCCCAAATTCGTAGACGGCAAGCCCAGGATCTCCGTCCTGGAAACGACGGCGACGAACACGGAGCTGGTCAGGTTCAAGGCTACCGATGCCGACCTGGGTGCCAATGGCGAGCTCACCTTCGCCATCGCCGCCGGGAACAGGAGAGACGCTTTCCACATAGATCCTCTGACAGGGGCCCTATACCTTAGGAAACCCCTGGACTACGAGGAACTGGAAACGTACACGTTGAACGTCTCCTGCACGGACGGTGGCCACCCTCGCCTGAGCTCTGTGACCACCCTGACGGTAGACGTGGTGGATACGAACGACAACCCACCTGCGTTCCCCAACACCGCGATAGTCCGTCAGATTCGAGAAGGCATCCCGGTGCACACTCCCATCGTGACCGTCACTGCGGAGGACCCGGACTCTGGGGAAAACGGACTCGTCAGCTATGCGATAGCCAGCCAGGATCCCGAAGACCAACGCCGGCACTTTGGAATAAACCCATCGACAGGCGTGATCCACACCCTGCTGCCCATAGACCGGGAAGAGGTGGACACCTTCAAGCTGGTCGTCGTGGCCACCGACAGGGCGCAGCCTCCTTCTGCGAGGCTCTCCGCGGAGAAGCTGGTGACAGTCATTGTGGAAGACGTCAACGACAACGCCCCCGTCTTCGTCAGCATGTCTGCGGCAGTTCTACCACCAAAGGGGAGCCCCACTTACCGGGCAGGAAAGGAAGTCCCCGTGGCCCAGTTACTAGCCAGGGACCTGGACTCCAGCACCAACGGCCTGGTGACTTACGAGCTGATGGGCTCCGGGGACAATTACTCGGACATGTTCCGCGTCCAGAGGAGCACGGGCCTCCTGACCATGAGGTTCCCCAGGTCCATGAGCAATTTTGAACGCTCCTCTCGGTTCCAAATCGGGGTTCGCGCCACCGATGAGGCCGTCCAGGCCGAGAGGAGGTCCTCCGAGACGTACCTAACCCTTATCGTACCCGGGGAAGAGGACGATAGACCCATCTGGGAACATCGGGGCCAGCTCGAGGGCAGCGTCTACGAGAACGAAGCTGCTGGTGCCAGCATCCTTCGAGTGAGTGCGCGAAGTCGTCGGTCGAACACCGACGTCGAGTACTACGTGACGAATGTAACTGCTGCGAGTGGTGGGCCCCAGGTGGACAGGCTTTTCGATGTCGACCCCAAGGGTGGCGTGCTCTCTACAGCGGCTGCTCTCGATAGGGAGGCTGGAGTGTCCTGGTACGAGGTGGAGATTTACGCCATTTGCGTGGGATCCGGCAAACCCTGCACCACTTCCACCAAGGTGAGTCCATGCTTCGTGTCGCGGGCTTTCGTGGGTTGCAGAATTTCTTGGAAATTGGAGAGGGAGAGATGGAGTTCTGTTGTTTCATCCGGATCCCTGGATCCAGGAGATTCATCTAGGCTGCGGGGAATTCACTCGGAAATCAGTGAAAACGATTGCCTTTGATATCACGTGATAAACAATGCGATCCGATGAGAAGTCACGTTTGGCCTTAAAATCCTGGCAACGTGGCGGTGACTTCCAACGATTTCTACCTGGGATTTCCAGCCGATTTGCAGGTGATTTCTCGCATTAAAATCTATGATTTCTCGAACGAATAAACCCTCGATCTAGTCAGAACGACGAATTAACGGCAACGGGAAACGTGGAAGAGTAGTCTTGGGAATAGGAGCGCAATCTGGTTCGCTCGTACATTAACGAGATCACGTGACGATCGACGATCGGATAATTCGTAACCAGACATGTGCACGAGTAATCCGGAAAGTGAAACGAGAACCGTGGAAAGTCGGTTATCCGTAGGTTGATCGATCCAAATACCGAGTAACCGAGTGTCCAACGCGAGGAACGTTCCTCAGGAGTGTCGGATTTGTTGTAAAGGTTGTACGCGGGATTTCGAGGTTATGGGTAACGGTAAAGTCATGGGGATGTACAAGGGTCCCGTTGCCGGGCTGCTCATCTTCGATAACACCGGTATCGGAGAAATAGATCACCTGTTCTTTAGCGGAACCGATACGACACCGGATAACGCACTGGGGATGATTTAACGAGTCCGCGTACGAGCTTAATGGCTCTGCAAGGTACAACCTGCTTACTAGGTTCGCCTCCATAAATTAGCCCCTCGCTCTAATTCGGATGACGTGTATTTATGGCTGGATTATAAACAGTTACGAAAGCTGAAACAATTTAAACAGTTAAGGTGATATGAAAGTGCCATCTGAAGGGTCAATTGTGAAACTTTTCTCCGAACTGCGTACAGGAATCGTTTCAAACTCCGTCACGTGAATATGGAGACTCTTGACACCCATGAAATTACAATGTTTATAAGAAATTTTTTTAAATACTTATAATGAAATTAAGAAAAAAAATTGAAATATCATAAAATGATATAGTGATAAACGATGAAATAATTAAAATGATAGTGCGTCCGGGATGGAAAAAAAGTTTTATTAATATTCCGACGTTTTACGTATATAGAATGACCCTTTCATATCACCTTAAATCACTTAAAATGAAACAATTATAATGTAGCGTCGACGTTTTTGCCCCGAAAGTGGATCACCCGTTAAGGCAGTACCTAACCTACAATGTTGCGAGCGATCGAATCCGGATCGAAGCGACCTTTCAATTAGGGACACGCTAAGTGCACGATCCTTTATCGCTTCCGAGGAAATTACGCCGAACGAGTACGCGAGTACATCAAAGAGTCGCTTGGCCATTGCGTCTCCAAATCGACTTTCCTATCGTCGAGACGGATCACCGACGATCTATTGGCCGATGTCGGCTATTGGATAAAATCGGCCCGACGAGCCCGGTAGACCGAGGCTTTCGGTGCATCGGAAATGCTGCATTTGCATATTACAATGTAGTGCTTAAGCTCGGTACACGGAGGAAGTACGCGCAGGACGCGCGTCTGCGCAACGTCTGCTCTTCGACTTCTCTTCGAGGAAGACTCGAAATGGGCACTTACCTTCGTACTGAATTTTCATCTTAAGAAGCACCCTACATCCGGGTATTGTTTATTAAGGTGTTATGAAAGTGTCATATATATATACCGAAACGTCAAAGTATAAAACATCTCCAAACGGGGTGCACCGAGTGATTTGAAACTTTAACGCGTGATTATGGAGATCCCAATGTAGGTTTTGGAACTCCCGAAATTTAATTTTTCGAAAAAATACACGAAAAAAAAAAATCGAGTTCTGCTGAGAATTTCTCTTAACTTCGTTCGATCGACCGTTCAACTGATTTCGTCGTTGTACCGACAACGGGAGAGAGAAAAAAAAATGCATCGAACCAAAGAAATATTTTGATAATTCAAAGAACAATCATTTGGCTCAAATGAACCCGAATAAATTGAATGGGACGTTTCTTCGGAGTTATGGCAAATTATTTGAGTTTATTTGAGTGAAATAATTATTCTTTGAATTGTCGAAATATTTCGTTGGTTCGACATTCTGTTCTCGGTGCATGGGTCTGGGTAATCTTTCGCTCCCATTCCTTCGGAGATCTTTCATGGTTGGGCAGCGACCGTGCTTTCGCATTACCTTAATTGAACGATATTCGAAATATCCACGCGTCGACGGAGAGCACGAAACGTAGGAAAGTGCACGCGAGGAAGGTGCGCCGGCGAGAGGGGCGAAAGGGGGAGGGCCATTGTCGGGTTTAAGGCGGTTTTACGACTGGCATCATCGGCCACTAACTCGTTCGATTAACGCAAAAGGAACCGCCACCCGCTCTCGCGTTACGAGGACGAGGACGGCGACTGCACGGGTTGCGTCACTGGATCCGTCCTTTCCGGAGAAAAAGAAACGCCGAGAGATCCATCTCGGGAATTCGTCTCCTGTAGTCGGTGGCGGTAGAGTCCGACTCCTTTTGACGAGCCCGGCAAACCCGTTTCCACGGTTTCTACGGTTTCCACGGGGAAACGACCCGAGGTCGGGAAGCCCATAAACGAGAGACGCCCTGGAGACTTTTCCTAACGACGCCTCTCCTCCATCTAGACCTTTCCGTCTCGTCCGCTCTTACGACACCGCTAAAAATCGTTCGATATTCCCGAGCACTATTTACAGTTTATATACTATGCATGGAATTCGTACGTAGGCGCACACGATTCCAAATAAAGTAATAAATGAAGAAAAACTCGGTGCACCAAGGTGAGGTGAAAATGGCGTCAGAGGTCTCGTTCGTGAGACTTTCCTCCGAATTGGATGTATCTAATCGTTTTAAACTTTGCGATGTGAAAATGGAGGATATAAGGAAGATGCTGACACCCCTGAAATATCAATTTTTGTAATAGTTATAAATTTTTTTATAATATAATTCCATGGTGGTCAGGACTTCGCATATAGCCTCCATATTCATGTTGTACAGTTTTAAACGATTTGGTACATCCCATTCGGGGAAAAGTCTCGTAAATGTTCGACCCCTCGGATGCACTTTCACACCCCCTGCCCCGTAGGTTTAATAGTTTTCGCAAAATTAATTCCTGGAAATTACTTTAAAAAACAAGCTTCTAGACGGTAATACCCCCTTAAGAGAAAATCACGACGCGACGCGGTACCTCCGGAGGGTTGCGCGTCTGACGCGGCGTCGCGGCGGTGCGGCGTCGGTCACACTTAGCCAGGTTCCCATGGACCGAGGAATCCTCGAGGGCGATCGGCCGGTGCGTCCGCGCGGGCGAGAAGCAAACACGTTGCATAACAACGACCTGATGTAATTAAAGGCAATGACAGAAAGTAATGACCTCCGCGAGCGCGCACGAGGTACGTCGAGGAGATGGCGCGAGGGGTGGGATGGGAGAGGGGGTCAGAACGGGTACGGTCGCGAGAAGGGGGAAATAAGCGACAAGACGAACTGCGTGCCAGGAAGCCAAGTTGGATTCGAGTCGGGCTCCGGCTCGCTCGGAGGTTCGGAAGTCGAGAAAAACTTGATCCCCGGCAAGCGAACGCATACTAACGGAGGGACGCGGCCACGGACGTCGGTACGGTGGGTCCCTTCGCTACCGCCGGTTACCGGCAACGCCACCGCGGCGCTCCGAATCGAAGCGCTCGCTCCACGCGGAGATGGTCACTCCACGTGGAGACGCGCATTCTATGTAGAGATGCGGGCTTCAGACGGAGACGCTCGCTCCACGGGGAGATACTCGCTCGCTCCTCTCCTTCGGTCCTCGGCCCGTCGGGCTATGACTCCTCTCGGGATCCGCGCGCAGTTCGGACGTTTTTGTCGGGTCGGACTCTCCCGCGCGCGGGGAATGCCGCCGCCTTCGCGAATCCCCGCTCGCCTTGTCGGACGCGAACTTCTTCTCATCGATACCCCTTTACCGAACGTCGGTATAGTTATAAGTAAACTACTTTAATCCCTGCGGAATTACATGGTTACCTGCCACTAGGGGGGCGCCGGTAAACGGACCCTTCGGAAACGCAAGGTCACGAACGAATAAATAATTGGGGTAAAGGAGTGGACGGGGGAAAAAAGTCGACAACGTGGGCGCGCTTGGCTCCGAGTATTTCCATCGTTTCGACGGCCTCGTATCTCGCGGCGACCCGCGATAACGTCCGATCGACCTCTCGGCATTGATCGCTCGCGAGATTCCGAGAGGATCGGCGCGGTGCCGCCAGGGGACTCGCCTCGGAGGCAAGGACCGCTCGGCGCGAACGTAACCTTGTACACCCGAGGTATACCGCCTACTCGGCGTGTTTCTAACTACGCGTGTTCGCCGGCCAGATACCATCTCGGAAACTGAGCACCGCGAGCAACTACTGTATAACGCCACGCACGCCCATTTTCGGCCGGCCAGGTACGAAGGATCCATCTTGGTCTAACGAGACGTTTCCTAGTTTATTTACACGCGTCGACGCGTCGACGGGTACACTCGGAGCGTTAATATGTATATGTACGGTATGCAATGTACGTACAATGACGGACACACGTATATCTTGGGTACTATTCTGCGTCATATCACCAGGAAAGCAGTTTTGTCCACCCGTACAGGTCAGGTTTGGATAATCTCGCGTTTTTCGACGTTTTTGACGTATATTACGTAAATCAAGTAGTTCACCGTAGCAAAATCGTGGAAAATCAGTAAATTACGTTTCCGATATAGAGGATGCCGCAAATGTACGATATACGATATTCGCTAGGTTATAAACGTCTTTCAGCACATATGTAAACAGGTATGTATTTTTAAGGAATAACTGCGTATATCACATGACATATTATACCTGGAAACTCGCATTCCTACGAACTCGACCTCGAATTTGGGTTTAGTTTTACCGATCACT